GCCATTGCGTGCCAAAAGCATGGGGAGCATGGGGGGGTCTCTCACGTGCCCACACCCATAATTCAATGCATCCTGCCCCCCATGCATGCCCGTGCGACTCCCCCACTCCCCCCGCTTTTGGCACGCAATGGCACAGTGGGCCAGGGAGGCCCATTTTTCTCCCTCCCCAGGCTCCAGAGGCTTTCTAGGAGCCTAGTGAAGGCAAAAACGGCCTTCTCCCCACCCGGAGGCTGGAAACAGCCCATTTCCCGACTTCCGGTGGGCCCAGAAGGCCTGAAAATCAGATAGCAGGTGCACACATGTGTGCTGGAGCTGATGGCAGGCGCTCATGTGCCCACACATATGGCTCCGTGTGCCACCTGTGGCACACCTGCCATAGGTTCGCCATTACGGACCTATGACCACATTTAGAATTGGAACTTGTGATACTAAGCAATGCAGTTGTTAAGTGAGTCGCACCCAATTTTACAGCCTTCTTTTATCATGGTTGTTAAGCAAATTACTACAGCAGTTAAGTGAATCAGGTAGTCATTAAGAAAATTTGGCTTCTCTCATTGATTTTATCTGTTGAAAGCACTCTGAGAAGATTGAAAATGATGATCTTGTGACTTCGATATGCTGCAACCATCATAAATACATGTTGGTTGCCAAGGACCCAAATTTTGATCACATGACTACACAAATACTGCAACAATTGTTAAGTACGAGGACTGGTTATAAGTCATGTTTTTTAGTACGGTTGTAATTCTGAAAAGTGGTTAAATGAATGGTTGTAAGTCAAGGACTAACGGTAAAGGCATCATGAGTGTTAATGATAATGAAGGAGCTAAATCTGAGAGCATGGAAACCAATGGTTCTGAGGATAAATAGAACCAATACATAAACACTGAGTGGATCATTCTTGATTTCAAGGCTGGTAAGAGAATGGCCAAAGTTTATTGACCTAAAAATTCAGGGCTAAAATTTAAACCTTTACCCCAGTTTACATATAAAGATTGATATCTGTGCTGTTCAGTTGTCAGATCTTCTGTGCATATGTGTCTTCTGTCTTGTCTGCAGTAAACTTGGATAGCATGTTATGCCTCTTCCGCTATAAGCAATTTCTTGAATATGATGTCAAACATCTGGAGAGATGAGATTGAATGTCATGCATTTTCAACTTCAACCAGTATAGAGCTGGAAGGGATCTTGGAAGTCTTTTAGTCCAACCCTCTGCTCAAGCAGGAGATCCTATACCATTTCAGACAAGCGACTGTCCAGTTTCTTCTTAAAAATCTCCAATGATGAAGCACCCTCAACTTTGCCGTCAAGCTGTTCCACTGGTTAATTGTCCTCATTGTTAGGAAGTTTTTCCTTAATTCCAGGTTGGTTCTCTCCTTGATTAGGTTTCATCCATTGTTTCTTGTCCTGCCTTTTGGTGCTTTGGAAAATAAGTTGACCCCTCCTCTTTGTGGCAACCTCTCAAATACTGGAATACTGCTATTATGTCCCACCTAGACCTTCTTTTCTCTAAACTAGCCAAACCCAAATCCTACAACCATTCCTCATGATTTAGTCTCCAGGCCTTTAATCATCTTAAAACATATGAAGAATGATTGCAGGATTTGGGTTTGGCTAGTCTAGAGAAAAAAAGGACTAGTGGGGACATGATAGCAGTATTCTTCTAATTTTTTGAAAAGGCAAAAACAAATTTGGAACATGTTCTTAGTATAACATAGTAAAATGATCTTCATCTTCTTTTCTTATGGAGGCATACAATCGGGGACCTATAGAACAAAAAGTTATGATCACCCTGTATTGCTAATACTAATAGTATAGTATTGTTTTTAATGGTGTCTTTATCAACAGAGAAATTTCCAACTGATTAAGAAATTGATTTTCTTTGTTAGGTGAATTTCTATTAAAGGTGCTCCTTGCTTAGTCCATTAGGGATTTGCCTAATGATGGCAACTGGGGATGCTGGAATTGCTGTTGTTTATGTGACATCACATCTTACAACTGTATTGCTTAGTGGCAGAGTTTCCAGTCCCAATTACCATTGGTAAATGAGACTTCTGTATCTGGCTGCTCAAAAAGCATCTGAAATCCTGGATCTGAATGGCCACATGCTTTTCCAATGTCCCACTACCTGACTGTGTTTGAAAGTATTTAATTATTGAATAGTAGTTTGGAAAATTCCTAACTTTGGAGTGCTCTGCCAAAATGTATTAATATATTACTAAGTGCAGTTGCGCTATCTAAAATAACATATCCATTGTCAGGGAATTGCGTAGGCGGTGTCCAAATGGAGTCAGAGATGCTGACAAGAACTTGGGATTTTATATAAGTAAGTATATTTATAGTAAATAAGAGAGGAAAACAGGAGCATAATCAGGTAAATCAATACTGTAGGAACATTATCGGGTAAATCACAGAGAGCAGACACAGCACCCAGAGAAAAAAGACGAGAAAGAAGGAAACTTCCCCTTTTTAATCACAGCAACCAATCACAGCTCAAGTTGCCTCATGTAGTGACCAGCTGGTTTTAACCAATTAGCTATAACTGTGTATTCTTACTCATTGTACACTTCAGTGCTTCAGCTATTAAATGTTAAATATATTAATATCCATGTATATTTATTATAATCTGCATACATCACTTTTAAAATCTGGACTTGGATACTAACATTCTTTCAAATAATATTACCGCTAATGTAGTTCTTTGACAAATAAAATCTGGAAAAATATTTTAAATGCCTAATACCAGTTTCATATTTTGAGCCTATTTTTTTTAACTTTTTCCTAATAACTCCTCCCCATGTATGTAGCACCAAGTTGTGGGACTAAGAAAGCTAACAGACTTCACTTTCACTGATTAATAATCCTGTTTAAACTAGAATAAAGTGGTTCTTTTAAAAAAAAATTAAGAACCTTTTTTTTTTATTGAAAATAAGTTTAGTACTTATCAGTCTTTTTTTGAAAAAAATTCTTGCTTTAAAAAATCTGCTATCATTTTGGGATGATGTTTTAAGCAGTAAATTATGCAAGTCCAGCTAAACTATTTCCTGTTTAAACAAAGAAAGAAAGAAAGGGGGGAAAATGGAAAAACATTCACTTCCTGAATGACAGCATTCCAATTCTGAGATTGGCTACAGTATAACTGCCAATCAGAAGCCTCCTTAGAGGGATGATTTCGAATGCTGTTTACATGCTTTGTGATTTTTCTTTCTCGTTCTTGGTGTTGTACCACTTGAAAAAATTCTTGATTCGTTCTGCTGGACAGCTGTATGAATGACCATAAAAGTTTACTTTCTGCACAGAATAGCAGCATGAAGGGAAAGGACTGTATGCTCTTCTGTAATTTCAGGTATGGTAATTACCAGGTTGTTAAGAGAGAAAAGGACATATTTCCCTATGGAAAGCTTTTTTTCTTTTAAACTAATTTTATTAAAGCTTACAAATAGATTTTAAAAAATTAAGAAAAATATAAGACCTTTTAAAAAAGAATAGTAAAGGAAAGTAGAAGACAGAAAATAAAACAAATAAAAGAAGAAAATATATAAGAGATGACTCCTTAAGATTATATCTTGAATGTTGACTTCGTTTTTCAAATGTAGTTTTAGTGCTAATTATTTATGTTGCTATGTTGGCATGCTTCGGTTGCTAGGAATAGGCGGCAATAAATACCCTCGCTTGCAAAATAGAAAAATTAAGTACAAATTAAAAACTACTGCACAGTTTGAGAAAATAGCTGTACAAGAGATGATATAGGTGAGGCTATTCTGTTTATCAAGCATCATGTTAAAATGTAAGAAATTGTATTAAAAGTATTTTAAACTAGTTTGGCAGCCTATAAAATGGAATAAAACCTTTATATGGTTCCAGATATTGTAACTTAAAGTACTGTTTTGGAAAAATCTTTATATATGGAAAAGGGACTATATAATTATATTGCAGTTATAAACTTATAAAGCAATACATAGTTTACATATGCTATAAAAAGTAAAAAGAAAGTTAAATAGAATTCCTGGGAGGTTAATGAAAATATGGGTAATAAGATTTAGCACAGCAGAATACTGTGCAAGTCTTTAGTAATATTTTTGTGTTTTTATATTTGAAGAGCTGTATTTGTAAATTTCCTGTGAGAGCCAGTTTGGTGTGGTGGTTAAGGCATCAGGCTGGAAATGGAATAATTTTCTCCCAATCTTAGGAAGGAGGCAATAGTACTTTTGAAAAACCTTGCCAGGAAAATTGCTGAAACTTGTTCAGACAGCTTCCAAAAATTGGACAGGATTTGGTGGAAGAAAAAAAAATTATGTGGGAAAAAAAAATAGCATAGAATATTTTGCAGAGGAAATGATCTGTCTTGGGGAACTGTTTATATTTTGGTTATATATACAATCAACTCATTGTAATTTTAAAACTCGAAAGCGTTTTCTAATATAGTATGATTTATAATTGTAACTAATGTTCAATTCCTCTTGTCCTGTCTTCAATCAACCACCCAGTCTTATTAAAAAGAAAATCAGTCTAGTAATAACACTTCTCTTTCAAAAGAACACAGAAACGATTAGATGCCTGCAATTGTAGAAGATCATGGAAAAAGGAATAATAGAAATATAGTCTGTATTTACACAAACTGTTGCTGTCACTGAACGTTTCTTCCATCCTTTCCTAGAGTCTGCCAGCTGTGATTCATGAAATGATTCTTAGGCGCTGACTAATTCTGTGGTTTTCTTTTCCACTCCTCTCCTACATTCTTTGGAAAACTGTTGGGTTTTTAAAAGAGGACAGCATCTGTTAAACATAAAAAACAAACTTAACAAGCACAAAGAAAATTGTATTTCTCAGTGATATGCTTAAATATTCTCTGCAGATGTTTGTATTTCTTTCAGGCAAAATATTCCTTACAAAGTAAAATCTAGCTTTTAAAAATATCATTTTAAAAAGTTCATATCATTTAGTTCACAGGATAGTGAACTAAATTAACATCTTTTGTGTACGTGTCTTTTTTATTCTAGATCGTTCAGAAAGAAATAAACCAGAGCACCGTTCATCAGGGTGAGATTGTTTTTCTGTTTTTGTTCTGTTTATATTTTTCTATATTGTATTAAAAAGAATTAAGAAACTGTAATTGAATGAAAATATTAAAAACATTAATTTTGCAGTTTAGATTTGCTCTGATAATTAAAGTGTATAAAGGATCATATTGAGTCTTTTCACATTTTCAAATGGGGTAAACATTTTATTGACTCCATGTGTATTCTCTTTCTATTTCTTGCATTTATAATACCTTTATGTAGGACTGAAAAACAAAAAAGTGCTCTAAAATATGCATGACTTTAATAATTATGACAAATGGAAAGAATTCTAGTTTTTTGTAACAGTGTTCAGTATGCTCCTTAAAAGGCAAATGTGATCAGAAAATTCTTGTATCCCTGACTCAGTACATTTTATAAACTATGATTAAAAGTAATTAATACTATATCATAATCTGTGAATGTAGCCACTGAAAGATGTAGGGACATTATGGAACTTAAAATGACTAGAATGTATTATTTTGTAGCATTTATTTTTTGTGTAATTAAGCATCCACATGTCCTTGTAGAATAAAATAGTTTATTAATAGATTAGTCTTATGATCTTATCAATAAAATAAAAAATACACAAACTTATTCTGGGATAAAATAATTAAAAGGAAATATAGTGATAAAATACGTACGTGGTAATACAAGGAGTGAAGATCTTGTAGTTAAATGCATATCTCTTGTGTAAGACTATTTGTCTTTTTTATATCTACAATTTTACAGAACATTAGTCTCTGCTCTATCTTATCTTTTTTTTTTTTTTAAATTTAATTTGTATACCGCCCTTCTCCCAGAAGGGACTCAGGGCGGTGAACAGCCAAAATTAAAAAACATACAAATGCAAAAGTTAAGATAATTAAAAGAATTAAATCATTGGCTACCCAAATTTAAAACCCCAAATCCATAAAATTTAAAATCCCAATTAAAAAACCATTTAGGCTAGGCCGGCTTGATGAAATAAAAAGGTCTTCAGGGCTTTACGGAAGGTACGGAGGTCCGGGATCAATCGTATTCCAGGAGGCAGCTCATTCCACAGGGCGGGTGCCCCCACAGAGAAGGCTCGCCCCCCTTTGAGATGATAATCTCAAAGATTATAAACAATTTAAGATGCCTCTTGAAGATATTAGCACCCAGTCAGTAAATGTAAACAGTTCATAAGGCAGAGGAAGGCAGAGATATGGTTCACTTGAAAATTGTTACAGTACTATATGGGTGATGGCAAATTGTATTTCATAAATTGATATTTCTATATATTGATAAGTGTGATTATATTGATAAGTGTGCTTACCCATGGATATCACTAATCAATTAATCGGCAAATGGAAAATTTTACTTTTTTTATAATTATAAAGAAACATGAAAAAGGGGTATCATCTGATTTGATTGCTGAGATAATGTTTTCTACCCACCAAGCAGTGATGAAATCTAAACCGGTTTGCCACCAGTTCGCTGGCCACGTATGTGCGCTGCGTGTGCAAACGCATGCTGTGCGTGCATGCGCAGTGCACACAAAACACATGCATGTGTGTGCATACACAGTATGCGCCAAACATGCGAAAAAAGGCTTGGGAAGATCAGTAGAAAAGCAGGGGGGAACAGCTGTACTGCACGTTTAGATTTGCTAGAAAGAGGATTTCTTGCTTTCTAGCGATTTTAAATCACGCGGCACAACTGATTGTCAGAAATACCGGTTTGGAGGAACTGGTAGGGTTTTTTTACTACCGGTTCACCCTAATTTTTTATCACTACCAGTTCGCCTGAACCGGTGCAAACCGGTAGGATTTCACCGCTGCCACCAAGTATTTTTTTTACTTTAAGCTACTGAATGCTGAGCCCTTTAAGATATAATTGCTAAAAACTGTTGCAGTTTTCTCACATTTCAAGCTTGGAAATGTTTTTGACTAGGACAAGGTCATATGTAATTTAACAAAGGGCAATAGGTGGCTATAGGGCCATAGATTGCTCAACCCTAGGTCTAGTTTAATATGCTGTAAGCATTGTTAGTCTTTGTTTTTTTAACACAAGAAATATAGGTGCCAACAGCAAGGAATTTAGTAATTACTTTACTTGACTCTTTTAGTGCATTCCTTTAGGTGACATGAAAGCTTTAATTGGCCTCCTACTCATGTAAGATATTTTATAATTATTTAAACTTAGTTGAAAATGTGCAGTAGGAAATTATCAAAGTTGAATCAAGCTTATAAAAATATACCACACTGAGGAGTATTATGTTCATCTGGGTGACAGATCAGGACATTCATACCCCCAACAGGTATGAAATGTGACAGCCCTGTGTCATATATTTTAGAACAGCGGTCCCCAACTTTTCCAGTTTGGAGGCTTGGGCATGGGGGGGATGGTTCTTTGTGAGTGGCACTTGCGCAAGTGGAATGGCACGCGCAAGCACCTACCACTCACACAGCCTGGTTCCGAATGGGCCAAGGCCTGGTAGTGGACCACAGCCCGGGGGTTGGGGGCCCCTGCTTTACATGTCACCCTTGTAATTTACAACAACTTATAAACTTCAGGTTAAAGTCACTTTAATATTCAGAGAAATATTCATGAAATGCCTCTGTAGATGTGGATGTTTTATGTGGATAAGACAACTCTTTTCACTAGAATTTATATTTTATCAGTTCTAATTTCTAATCTAGTATAGCATGTTTATTAAAGTAGCCAGTGCACAAAAGTCAGAAATGGTTTTAAAAATACAAATAAAAGTGTAGCTTTGCTAACTGAACTTACCAAACTTAGTTGGCTAAACGTATCAGGAATTTGAGGATATTTACTGAGCAGTTTCTAACACATCAGACATAAATACAAACTGAACAATTAATAACCTTGGGTAATTTGATTAGGTATCTTTCAAGTGAATCTTTCAGTATCTGTTTAGCATCTGCCTGAGCTATTAGTATATCAGGATTACCAATATCCTGAGCCATGAAAAGTTCCTAAATTATGTTGTTTGAACAATAAGATTGTTCTTATGTTATTAAAAGTCAGGCTGGGACTTCCGGTTTGCTGCTGGACGCCGCTAGATGCTCCTTCGGGATCGTCAGCTTCCATTGCCTGTCAGAGCCGCCTTCACAACGGAATGGCGGCTCGAAAAAACTCCGTTTCCATGAGGAAACGGAGATAGAGCCGGCAGGGGTGGGTAGAACTCTCTGCAGAGTCCCAAAAGTTTTTCTTTTACTTTTGGGACGGAGCGGATGAGATGCCCCATATCCCCAGCCGCTGCTCCGGGCTTTGGGAGACCTCTGCTAATGCAGAGCCAGGCGTCAAGAGCAAGCCTGCGAATTTAACAGATTATTCAAAGAAAATGTGAGCTGGACCTGTAATACTGAATCGCAAGTATTTTACTTATCTTTTAAAAATTACTTAAGAGAAAAGGAAAAGAAAGGGGGAAAAAAAAACCTTTTAAAATGGCGTCTGCCGCGGCTGGAGAAGAGGCTGAAAGGGAAAGTCCTTCCGTTTTCTATTATTACAATGTAGCGGAATAAATACCACTGGCTACATTTGTAGACAAAACTTCGCTCCTGTGTTTTTTTCTCTCTTTTTCCCCTGGAGACTTGACATTGTTGTTGATTGGAAAGAAGTCTTTTTTCCTGTTTTTTTTTTTTCTTTTAACAAAGCCTGCCTGGGCGGAAACATGGCACTGAGACTTATAAAGTCAGATAAACAAGTGGGGGGGGGGATTCCCCCATTAACAACTTAAAGGAACAAGTTTTAACTCTTCAGTCTCAGAAACCTGATTTTAATATAATAGAATTTCTCCTAGAGGAGATTGAAAGAAGGGATGAGATTGTGAATCAGCATCTTGAAAAATTTAAGCAGGAAATTAAAGAATTGGTGAAATCTAAGTTTGATTTTTTGGAGCGAAAAATTTTAAAAGTGGCTAATGGTTTTTCAGAATTTATGATACAGCTGGATACAAATACTAATTTACTAGAGTCTAAAATGGAAGAAATTCAAGATAAATTGGACAATAGAATTCAAAAAATTGAAAATGATTTGATAAACACTCAGGATAATAGCTCAGAAGAAAAACCTAAAATGGATGCTGTTCAAAAGTCTGGTAATGTAGAAAATCTGCAACAGAGGATTGAAAAAGAGGTTCTAATGGTACAATATAATTTCACAGAATATGCGATAAGACTGAGAGGCTTGCAGGAAAATAACAGAGATGATTTAAGGAGAATATCTTCTGAAATTCTAGCTGGGATTTTAAAGGTTCAACCTGAGGAAGTGTTTTGTAGGATTGACAGAGTTTACAGAATAAATTCCTGGATTGCCAAGCAAAGGCAACTGCCTAGAGATGTGGTGATTTATTTCACAGATAAAGAAATTAGGAATAATATTGTGCAAAATTCCTTTAATTCTAATTTGCAATTGTATGGAAGAAAGATTTGGATTTACAAGGAACTCCCACCTAAGATATTAATGGAAAGGAAGAAATTTGGTTTTCTGGTGACTGAGTTAAAAAAGAGAAATATCCTATTTAGGTGGGACGCCCCAGTTGGTATTATATTGAGATATCAAGGAGAAAGATACCAGCTAAATACTGTTGAAAGAGCGGAAGAATTTTATCAAAATAGGTTGAAAATGAATTTAACATCTTCAGGTATAATACAGGATAAGCAGAAGGAGCTGGAAATAAAGGGAAAATATCGAATTACAGAGACTGTACCAGATAAATTGCCTTTGGATTTATCGGATACCCCAGCTGAATTATCTACAAATTTGAGAGAAGTGGCATCTGACTTTAATGTGATGACTTATCAAGGCAAGGACAAGCATGGAAACCAATTAGGGGATATACAAGGGATAAAAAAGAAACATGAGACACAAAAACAAAACCAACAAGACCAATCTACAAAGCAGAATGAAAACCGACTAGTTGATACACAATCTGTAGAAAGGAAACCAGGATGGAAATCAAACCCACAAAAAGAAAAGAAAAAAAGAAATAGGTTGCATAAAAATAGAAATTTCTAAATCAAGCAACAGTGAAGCCAGTGACTTTAAAATATGAATGATTATGTGAAAACATAGAGGAGGCGACGTATTGGTCAATATCATCCTGAGGATAGTGGCAGATCTCTGCATTGCCGTAATCTTGGGACGTGAAAAGAGCCTTAACCTGATGGATTTGAATTATCCACTTTGGAATTTCTTTTTGTGTTGATAAATATATTATAATTATCTTGAATCAGGCAAGAGAATTATGCTGGGGCACGCAGAAGATCGGGTTGTTACCCACTACGATGATGGGAATCAATAATCCTGATGAAACCCACAATTATTACTATATGGAATATAATTATAATGTCACTCGGGTGGTTGTTTTTACTTTTATACATATAAGAAGATATTTACTACTGATGGGGGCAGATATGATTGAAGATTTTGAATAAACTGTTGCATCAGCAAGCTATGTTATCCTATTATGGATGTTGGTTCTAATAATCCAGTGGAAAGACTTCAAAGAAGATATTATATGGACGATAAATTTAAAGTCATTGTCTTTTCTTTTTTTATTTAGATATAATGTATATATAAAAATTAAGGTAAATATTGGTCAGCATTAAAAAATAGGATTGCATTTCATAAGTGTATCACAGGCTAGGATGTAAGAGAGTTGTGTTAGGATATAAACAAGTATTGTTTTCTTCAATGTAATGTAGTAGAAATGTACCATAATTAGAGACAGGATAACATTAAACATTTTGTTACTATAGCTGTGCATACTATATTACTGCATTTGGAAAGACAAGTTTAGAAGAGGTGTGGTTGTATCACATTAATTTAGAATGTCTGCACACTGCACATTCACAAATGGCCACTCTTACAAGTTTGTACTTCAAAATGTATAGAGGGTGTAACTCAGTTGAGTCAGGGAGAATTTGGAACAAGCTGTTACTGAGCAGAAAGATAATGTTTTTGTAGAAGAGATTCTTCCTGTTATAAAGATTTGATCATCTTAAAATTATCTGTAATACAAAATATAAAAGAACAGCGGGAATGAGTTCTCTGGATCTTAAACGCTTAAAGTGTGAAGTGTTAAGTATTAAAATTGTTTAGATTCTGATCCACAAAGCTTATTTCCAAACACATTTGTGTTATAGCATTAATGCTTTAACAGTGAATCTGTTGCTATACACTTTTGTTGTATTGGAGCTCACAATCGTTTAATTTAATTTGATGTTTTTATCCTATCCCAAACAATGTTGAAATATACGATGTTGTGTCTTAGTTTTATGTTGAAACCCCAAAATAATTTGTCCGTCTGGGAGAGCTACTATTTAAGAACAAAACTAATTTGGTGAAGAATAATTCATCATTAATATTCTCATAGTAATGGTTTGAAATGAGAAATAGCTGAAGATCCAAAAAACCAGCCAGTGATTCACTCCTGTGTGAGATAATAGACTCCTAGGGATTTTTAACCTCCTCTGTTATTATAAGGGCAACTCCAGATGCTTTCATTATGTTTTTTTTCTCCTGTATTCTGGTTTGTGCTTGGGAATTAAGAGCTTAGATAATTGCAACAGTGATGAAGATGTGTTGTTGTTGACAACAGATGACAAAAAATTAAAGGTCCTTTTGTAAGCATCTTTTTAGAAACAACCTCTAGCACATTTGGTAGATTTTATAATGCCTATAAAAAATTATTTTCCTCACTTTAGAAATTTCTATGAAAATATTCTTTCTTTTCAGTTCTCTGTATTTTCCTTAACAAGAGAAGGGGTTGTTTGTTCCTACTCAGAGCAGGAATCTTCAAAATTATAGTAGAAAACACACCCAATCCTCAAGGGACACTCTTATTGTTTGTCTTCACTTCTGGAGTTGCTGATCAAGTCACCTCAGATTTTTAGAAAGGTTAGAAACTGTAAAGTGAGAAGGGTTGCCTCTTTCCCTCTCTTGATGACTTGAAAGGATCAATAGGGTTGTTGAAGTGATATGGTGCATTGAATAGGAAAATAGGAAGTAAAAAGTAAAAAACAATAGTTCTACTACAACTTCTAGACCTATTGCCTCTCATTCTTGGGTAATGTATAACTTCCTGTATTATTCTCCCTCATAGTATATGCATTAATCTGTTCGTAGTTAGATTTCATTACTGAAGCACAGTAAAATTATATAGATCAATTTAGTTGAAAAATGAAGCTTTCACATCTTTAGGTTAATGTGAAATATATTTCAGGATAAAAAGATAGAAAGGGGAAGAGAATCATAATATGTCAATTAACATTGTATTATGTGGATTTCAGCCACCAGAAATATTAACATCCTGCCTGTGCTGCCCAGAAATTTTTGAAAAGCGTTTTATAGATATTTTTCAATAACTATGTGCATTCTATTGCTTTAACAGTAACCAGAGAAACTAAATGTTTGTGGTGACAACTGTTTTATTGTGTATATTTTTCTATGGTTGCCTTTTGTTTTTTGTTTTTATTTTTTGCTAAAGCATGCAGTAGATTAAACTATACAGATTAAAACAATAGAACATAAAATAGATTATATTACTTTTATATAGAATTACTTTCTCTAGTTGTCAGCCTCTGAAAGGGTTAAGGTCTGAGTGATCATATGAAGGATTCTATTTTAGTTAACAATTTTATTAAAGTTTTCAATAAGCATAGTTAAAACTAACTAGAAGATAAAAAAGGTCAGAAGGTGCAGAAAAAGAAAAAAGAAAACAAAAATAAAAAGGCAACAAAAACAATAATAAAAAGTGTTTTTCAACCTTCATCACATCGACATAAACTAACATACTAAATTTTCTACCTATTTTAATGTTACAAATAAAAAAAATACCCCTCTTTATAGCCAAACTTTATCTAAACACAATTCATCCTCTTTTCAATCATAGTTTGAAAATAGCCTGTAGTACAGTGGACAAGAGCCTGTAGTACAGTGGACTAAAGCACTGTTATTAAATCTGCTGCTTGCAATTACTGCAAGTTCAAATCTCACCAGGCTCAAGGTTGACTCAGCCTTCCATCCTTTCTAAGGTAGGTAAAATGAGGACCCAGATTGTGGGGGCAATAAGCTGACTTTGTATAAAATATACAAAAGTATGAAGGCTATTGCTTAACGCATTGTAAGCCGCCCTGAGTCTCCGGAGAAGGGCGGCATATAAACTAAAAGCAAATAAATAAATAAATAAATAAATAGTTCATTCAAAAGTCTTTTAAGAGCTACCAGAAATATCAAACAAGGTTTATCCCTGGACAAATGGTTGAACTTTACATTTGTCCTTTTTGCTGTTCATAATCTTGACCTAGAAATCTAAGCTGTTGGGAATAGTTGATTTGGAGCATCAGAATTTGCCTGTATGTGATCATTCTCATTGTCCTAAATTGGTTTCTGGATTTTGGACTATATAGTCCAGATACAGTAAAATAATATATTTTATCAATATATATTGGTAAAAAAATCCCAAGGCAAAACAAAACAAAAGAAATAAAAAAACCAAAATATATTGTCTTCCAAAAATATTTATCTATACATTTCAAGGATGATACAGTTTTTGTTATTAAATTGGTAAACAACTGAACGTTTTCCTGTAGGCATGAGGCAATCCCTGTAGTTCTCCTTTCCATAATTGGTTTCAGTCAATCAATGAAGAAGGAAAATTTTTACAGTTTTTCTGCAATTCTGTTCATTTGCAATAATGACTATAAGTAGTCCTCGACTTACAATCACAGTTGAGTCCAAAATATCATTGCTAAGCAAGGAGTTGTTAAATGAAATTTGCCCTATTTTAACATTAAGTGAATTACTGCAATTGTTAAGTTAGAAACAAAGTTGTTAAGTGATTTCTGGATTCCTCATTGACTTTGTCAAAAGGTCACAAAAGGTGATCATATGAGCCTGAGACATGGCAACCGTCATAAATACATGCCAGTTGCAAAGCACCTGAATTTTGATCACATGACCACGGGAATGCTGCAACAGTCTTAAGTGTGAAAAAAAGTCATAACTCACTTTTTATAATCCTGTTGTAATTTTGAATGGTCATTAAAAATGGTTTCAAGTTGAGGACTACCATAAGCAATGTTTTTGAATAATTCTCTACTAGATGATCTGTATTTTTGCATAATATGTAATTATATTTTTGTTCTACTTTTCATTTTTTAAGCCAAGGTCCCTTGTCATCTATTAAAGCAGCAATCAAGAGAAGTAAGTAGATTTTTGGTCTGTTATATCTATCTGATGAATGCTGAAGAGGTGAACAAATGTTTATTAACATTTTCATTAACTAGATCTCCAGGTGCTTTGATTTTTAGTGATTATTCAGATCAGTTATTTTCCTTCCCACCGAACATACCTGCTTAAAAAAATGTTGATAGGTAGAGTACTTTAAATGTATTTCTTTGCTTATATTTCATTTTCATTTTCTAGTATCCACCTGAGCTGGATTGCAGTGTTTGTTATTTACTTATTTTATGAAACTTGAATTTGCATTTTACATTTACATTTACATTACATCTCCAGCAAGTTTGGAAGAAAGATATCAGAAGTTCTATTTTATATTATCTGACTTTAGAGTATTTGATTTCTAGTCTGTAGTTAATCTGAATAAGGTTGGTTGAACGTGTCACTACCAAAAATTAAAATATGAAATTGGCCAAGATTTCTTTGAATTTGGATGATGAGGAAATTTATAGTTAATCCAAAACAAACTTTTTCAAAAATTCTCTTTGTAAAGGAAGAAAAAAAACAATTGTTGTAAAACTTGCTATGGCTTGTTGTTGTAATGCTAAGTTATGGTTTAATGTTAATTCTGAATCAAAATTAAAAGCAGGCTGATAGAAGTATTACATGATCACACCTGATCTAGAACCCAAAGGAAAAGAATCTGATTCTTGCTTCTTCTGTCTAATAAATGTCAATATTCAATTTATTTTTTAGATGAGCTTGTAACCATGTCATTATATTTAGTGGTTGTAAATTTTACTGTGATATAGCATAGTGGGGTATTATTAGCATTCATTTGATTTTAAGAGTTATTTGAATAGCTGAAAGATTTTTTTATTTCTGGTGTTTTTATGTCATTTCAGTCAGTACAAATCTAAGCAGCTTACAATATCAACAGCTTATATTATCAGAAAGTAAATCAATATAAGTTTATTTATAAAGCAACAGCTTATATAATAGCAACGGCAAATGAATAAATATAACTTTATTTATAGTATCAACAGCTTGTATAATAGCAACAGCAAATGAATTAACATTAATTGATAACAATGACAATAACACAAATGCCATCTTATTATAATCAGTCAAGAATTGTATACTTTATTAATAGCGCCACCATTGTTCACCACAGGCACAATTATCTCTTACCTCAAGGTTGTGAAGATCCAGGCACAAATCATATATATTATGATATGGTGTTCTACTCCAGCAGCCCCCCCCCCAACCTTTTGGATGCCAGGGACTGGTTCCATGGACGGTGGTTTTTCAGCGTATGGGGGGGGGGGGCTGGTTTCGCATGTTGCCTGATTGGGGACCTTTTTTCTATTCAACAGAGCCTCTGCAGAAAATGCTTGCTTCTGAGTGTCTTCTCATTATATTTCATACGGGTTGGACATCTGAGCAAATGTTCTCTGAATGAATGCTTTGGTTGGATGGATTGGTTCTAACATCCCACAGATAAACAGGCTTCCAGCCATGAGAAATTTAAAAGTTATAAATAGCACCTTGAACTGCAACCAGAAACAGAATGGCATCCACTGTAGCTCCTACAATAATGGGTGCTATAGAACTTTACCTGTAATCCCTTTAACATGTGCGTAGCCAAAATTTGTATCAGTTGTAGTCTTGGGAAGACCTTCAAGGACAGTCCCGTGTAGAATGTATAATAGCATTCCAATAGTGAAATGTTAGTGTGAGCAACTGTTGCCTGTACTTCTGGCTCCAGATAGAGTAGCACCTGGCAGGCTAGCTGCAGCTAGATAAAGGTTTCACTGGCTATTCCAATAGCAGCTGAGAGTTCCGGAGGATCCACAAATTGTGCACTAGCTCCTTCTAGGGGAGCACAGCCACATACCTACCCGAGGCCAATTGAGAAATGTAGCATGCTGATCTGTTGTCTGAAAACTGTAAGGCCTCAGAACCTTAGCAAGATGGAATGGCTCAGAAGTCACGTACTGTCTGACAAGGCCAACTTTCATGCTATTATTTGCATTGTAATAACTGAAAAATATACTATTTGAAGTAGTATGACTATATTAATTCAGGCTTAATGATAAATTATTTGTAATGTTCTAGATAATATAAATAGGTGGCGAACTAAATTGAGTCTGATAAACGAATACTGTTTCACTTCCTTTTCATCCCTTCACCCTTAAGCATTTTTGTCAAATTCTCACATTCTTTTACTTCAAACTAACATTGTTGCTTGTATGGAATTGTCATATATGTAAATACAATTTTACTAAAACACTTTTCATATTTTCTGTAACCATTTTTCCAATTTTCCAATCAAAGTAACTTTTCCCCAACTTTTGGAGGGGGGGAGGGTAGTATTAAATTAAAGAGAAGAACCAAAGTTTCTCAAGATCAGAGGTTTTTTTTCCAGAAGATATTTTTAGGACAACTGTTAATGACAGTTCTAAAAATGTTTGTCTCTATTAATGAAATTTGTCTTTCTTTCATGTTTTCTCTTAATTGGGGTAATACTTCAGCAAAAACAATTATATGCATTGGAAGGAACTTTTTTCAGAGTGCACATAAGTTTGTAGTAATGTTGTCATCTTGATAGCACAGTAATCTTCCCCATCTGCTTTCCCTTTCTGTACATTTGTTCTGTTTAGTCCCACTGTTTAGTACATATGTGAGCATATGTACAGATGAGGATTTGTGCCTATACTGAAACTTGTTATATTCCTCCCTATATACTTGTTTCTTTTTCTTTAAAATAGAAGGAATGTTTTCCTTTATGTATAGTTTATCTACAAACAAACATTTTCTTGCTTGGTCACTTCCCTCCCTATTTGCAAATATACACAATTATTTCCAATGAAAGCTTTAACAAGACAACATTTCATGAGATTATGTAAACATTATTACCTCTTCCAAGTATGCAGTAGTTCATGTGACATACTGGTGAGTGCTTATGCAGCAATTTTACTTAAGTTTGTTATATATAAGTAGGTACACATCACATGCACACAGGCATGCATACAGGCATATTTTATTTATTTATTATTTACTATATTTTATGCTGCCCATCTCCCATCTGCAAGATGACTCTGTGCCACTCTGGAATATTATTATGAATAGCTGGTAACTTTTACAAAAGGACGCACACAATTATTGTATGCATGCTTACAATATTTTTTGTTTGGAAAGGTGAATAGGGAAGGTGCCTGAGTTAGAACATGTTTTGTTCTCAATTGTCTTTAACCTGCATTTTTGTTTAAGTTGGACTGCCTATTACTACAAATGGACTGCCTATTACTAAAACTGACAGATTGAGTTCCTTCCTTGAGCTGGTAAAGCATTGAAGTTGTGCAGTGCTTTCTGGAATTTTTGAAAACAGGTTATGTATTAAAAATGTATGGCTTCAGTGATATCATCATCGCACAGCTTCAGTGCTTTGTGGGTTCAAGGAAGGCAATGCTGTCCACCGTTTTTACTAATAGGTAACCCATTTGTAACTAGGGGTTGCCTTTAAGTTAGACGTTCTTAACCTGGACACTGTTTGCATGCATGTAAAAGAAATGGTTTAGCATTTATTAGGTTTCAGTGAGTATAGTTCCATAGCCCTGGGAGAAAAATAACGTTATTATATGTCATCAAATTAGATAAATTACACAAGAGATTTTGACTGACTTAATGTCCCTAAGGCTGAAGAGGACTTGAAGCTGGATCCCCCACACCTAGCATAACAATCTAATGCCCCAGAGAGCCTTATCTCCCTGCCAGAAAGCTTTTTAAACTCAATAAATTTTCTAAGGCAATTTCAGTTAATACCACATGACTAAAATGGAAAAGGAGATTTTGTTTACAAGCAGAAATTATTTATGGATGGATCTTGACTGACAATTTTCTGTCAGATTTCTTATGTGTGCAGATTTATATGAAGGATAGTGAGCCTTTATCTTTTAAAAGCAGTGATAGATTATGATAATAACAAGAGATAGATTGTGTTTCTCAAAGATAAATCTGTTTATCTGAGTGTCCAAAGCCCCAGAGAGTCAACACAACCCACCTGGCCTCTAGGCAACACACCTACAAGTACTCAAAGGCTAGTACTCAGTTTACTATATCACTCCCTATTTTACTACAGCTTTACTACAACTAGTAACTTTTGTATATACAAAAGTATGAAGGCTATTGCTTAACGCATTGTAAGCCGCCCTGAGTCTCCGGAGAAGGGCGGCATATAAATCGAACCAATAAATAAATAAACAAACTACTACACGGCTTCTCTATGTAAGCCTTACTTCTGAAGAACAGTAACTCTTCTATTTGCTTTAGGCTGCTTTGGGCTGTTTTAGTTTCCCAAACAACCATAAGCCATCTTCCCTCTGATTCCCATGCCAATATCACCATACTGGGCTGTGTCTCTACTCAGCTCTTACAGCCACACGTTGCTGGCTATTTTGCAGGCAGCCTGTCCTCTGACACTGAAGGAGAGTATAAAAGGAGCATGTATTTTTCCCAGAAAAAGTCATTAATAAGGAAACAAGAACATCTGTTGCAAAATTGATGTTTTACTAAGATAGAGAAATCAAAACGTTTTGCTATTGTAGAACATGAAAGTTTTGAGTAATTCTACTATCTTCAATTAATACACGAGTATTTGAAGAGTCAGGGAAAAAAAAGTATCAACAACTTCAAAATAAGGAAATTGTTTAATTCTGTTGTTTAAATAGATACAATATAAAGCTGCTGATTATTTCCCCCCCCTCCTTTTTAAAACCAGATTTGAATTTTAAAACTGGCATTTAAAACACTGCCAGAGTTCATTTTATGGGGAAAACATACTATGATACCCTTATCTGACTAACAAAGACAGTCTAATGGATCTTTACTGTTCACCTGGTTTGTTCTTTTTTCTCTTTCTTTTTCTTCTTCTGTAACCCTTCTTTTTCTCCTTTAGCACTCATGAATAGTGCACCTCAAATATGCCCCGTAGAAGAGGTATGTCTTTTCTCACTTCCCCACCTGGTGCTTCGCTTCTATAAATTTTAAATGGTACAATTAGAATAATTTGCTGCTGCTTAATCAAACAAGATTTTCCGCTAAATCATGTTATCTGGAAAATATTCCTTCTAATTTGCTATTGTTTTAATTATATACGATAAATGCAAACGATTTCATTCAAATAAAATTTCAGTTATTTTAATAAGCTTTGTAATGAGAAAATCTATAGTTAAGTCATTTTACATAATGAATGTGCTCTAATATAACTACCTAACATAAGAATTAATTTTTTATCTGTAGTAATATTGCCTGAATCTTACTGAGGTTATGCTTGGAATTATGGTATTACTGGAAATGTCCACTTTTCGCTTGTTGTTTGAAAGCACAGACATGAAATGGGGGTCTCAGAAAAGTAGAACAAATTGATACAGCCAATTACACAGGGGTGGGCTGCTGGGGGTTTGCAGGGGTTCGGGAGAACCTCTAGCTAAGATTCTATGCAGTTCGGAGAACCTCCAAATCCCACTCCTGGCTGGCCCCACCCACCCCATCCTGCCCCTCGCAGGAGTCCCCACGTGGCCCGTTTTAGATGCAGGTAAGTGCGAGGTGCACACGGAGGCTTGGGGACAGCAAAAAATGGGCTATCGGAAGTTTGGGAAGGCCAGAAACAGGTCTGTTTCTGGCCTCTAGAGGGCCTCTGGAGCCTGGGGAGGGCAAAGGAAGCCTCCGGAGCCTGGGGAGGGCAAAAACGCTCCCTCACCAGGGTGCAGGAAGCTGACTAAGCCACGCCCACCATGGCCACGCCCACCGAGCAACCAGGCAGAGAATCCCTTGCTAAAATTTTTGAAGTCCACCCCTGCAATCACATATTCTTCTGGTTCACATAGTATGCTAAGTCAAATCTGATGAATATATATGATGATAGATGTAGTAAAACCTGATGAATATATATAATGGATCACTAAGTTAATTTCTGATTCATAAACCAGACGTGGCTCACTTAATAATGCTAAACTAAAGTTCATATGGTTTAATTGACTGTGTGGATATTTCTCATATCAGACTTTTTGCCTTTGTACTAAAATGAAGTCAAATCAAGTATATGTGAATGTTAAAGACCTTAATAAATCAACCACGTACAGTATGCTTATAGTTTAATATTGTGGGACTAATTTTGAATTCTCTAGATATTGTCTCATGAGCTATAAGGATTGTCTAATGAAAATTCCTTAATCTCAGAGCCATAAGAAGATGCTGATCAAATGCTGGACTCAAAAACACTTTAATCATGTGTTTTGAATTAATTAAATAATTAATTAATGATTATTATTTTTTAATAGTCACTTATGGATAGTAATCATTTGGGAAACACACATTTAATTTAAATATTATGTTAGTAGTAGTAAAAAATTAATTGTTTGCCTTTTTTTTAAATTAGCTTCTCGGACAACTTATCACAGTGAACAGCAAAGAGAAAGAAGGTATGGTTAATAATTACTCCTTCATTTGTAATTATTCTACCAATAAAATAAGTGTAAGAAGTGACTTATAACATATAAATGAAAATGTTATAGAGTATCTAAATATTGCACTGGGTATCTTTTATTACATGTGTTTAAAAATGAGACAATAAATAGATTTAAATATGTTTTCTTTGGAAATTGTATTTTAAAATCAATCCTCTCTCCTGTGGCATATTTATTGGACTGCATTAACTGAAAAAGAGATTTGGGATGGGAAGAACTCATGCAAAGTGTCAAGTACTTTGTTCTTTTATTTATTTAATTTCTACTCTTTCTGTCTGATTCTTCAACAATCAGGATGGCATCTAGTGATTAAAACATAATGTAAGTTAAACTAATAATACAGTTAAAATGAATATTGATATTAAAAGTTTATAATAAATTAACAATTACAGCCTTGATAGAAGACAAGTGATTGGGAAAAGTTTGGGTGAAAGATTTTGCTATGTGCACAGATGCTGTTATCACAAGATGATAAATCAAATCTGTACCAAATCTGGACTCTACAATCTTTTATATGTTGTGGAATTTTACGCTTTAGATGCCCAAAATTATATTGGCTGATTGTTTAGAGAAGGCATGGCCAACCTGCAGCTCATGGGCCTTCCATAGTGTGGGACGGCTACTAGTGCAGCCCCACGAGGCAATAAAACAAATAGAAAAATAAATGAAGTTTGTTATCCATATACATTAACTATATTACATATTTTATACGCGGCCCACGATCATTCTTAAATGTGATAAGGGCAAACCAAAAGCTTGGACAACCATGGTTAAAGCAAATCTATGTGGATATTTCAAAAATTCGAAAATTGAATTCTTGCCAAGTGTAAGAATGTTGGAAATTTTATTGGCCTCTTAGATATAGGCAACAAAAACATAAAATGGTAAATGGACTTATCTATGGGCACTAATGGGTTGAAGAATGAGAACAGGTGTTTCCCAGCAACTGAATTAGAAAAGCCCAATCACTTTCCAAATAATGTGTAATCATAAATTACTGAATTTGGTCTTGTTTCCCTCCCCCCCCCCCCCCAAGACGCCCTGAAATCACAATAGTTGCAGCTGAGCCACTTGGACCATCCTCCTGGTTTCCAGGTGGAAACCGTCTCCCTCAACAAGGGCTACTGTTCCAGTCAACTCATAGCCAAACGCCTTGGAGAACCACTGAACTTGTTACAGCAGAGGTGAGGAAGCACAGGGTTTCCTTCCTGGTTCAAGTTGATGTTTGTTTGAGCATTATAATGTAGTGAAATAACTGTAGTATCAGAATTCATTGTTAGCAGCATTTAGGACATGAACAGTGAGTTCAGGAGAAGAAATGGTGAACTCAAGAGGCAAAAAGTAGAACTAACAATCATGGCATAATAAAAAGCCAGCAGGTAGACTGGTTTTTGAAATTCCTCTCTGAACAAGAAGAGAACTTGAGATTGCCATAAATTCTTCAGACAATTGCTTCTCGTGAGGCAACTATGAAACTGCAGTCTCTGGCAATTTGGAGCTCTGAGAAATAAGGGAACACAGATAGTTCTTGACTTAAAACAGTTCATTTAGTAAGCATTCAAAATTACAACAACACTGAAAAAAGTGATCTTTCCCCCCTACTTATGACCATTGCAGCATCCCCCTGGTCATGTGATCAACATTCAGATGTTTGGCAATTGGTTCATATTTATGATGGTTGCAGTATTCTGGGGTCATGTGATCACCTTTTGCAACCTTCTGACAAGCAAAGTCAATGCGAAAGCCCGATTCATGTAACAGCTACTAACATACTAATATAACAGCTGCAGTCATTCACTTAACAACTGTGGCAAGAAAGATGGTGAAGTGGAGCAAAATAAAAAAACACTTAATAACATAAATTTTGGACTCAATTATGACTGTAAGTCAAGGACTATCTGTAGTCATTTTGCTCTAACCCCAGTTGATGCCTTCAAAAGACACTGGGTTTACATACTTCCTTTATTAATCAGTATTGGAAATTGCTTGTTAGCTGCTTTTCAATTGTTAGGAACCTTTCCATTGACAAATTGTATAGTGAGTGTCAACCCTCTTTGGTAAACTAAACAGGAAACATGACTAAATGAACTAAATCTACATTTAGGCTACATTAATTATCTACATTAATTAAGGCTACATTAATAATGTCTGAAAGTACAAACTTTGCATCCTTCACTTTTAATGCTTGCTCCATTAGGGTGGGTCTTTCCTCAGAGCATTTTCCAAGTGACTTGGGCTGTTATTTGATTGTTTCCTAAGCAACATTTCTTCTCCCCTTTCTTCAAGGTCACCCATGTATTCCATTACATTGAGTTTCCATCAATCCTTAGCAAAATACATTTTCAATACAAGTTTACAGCCTTAATTTTTTTTTCTGGAATAAACATCAAAAGAGTGAAACTGTTATGGAAAAAATAAAACTTTGATTTTTAGAAAGTTACAAACGGATTAAGGGTCCAGGTAACTTTGAAATAAGATTTTAGAATTAATTATAAGAGTCCTCTTCATGGGAAAATGCTTTGGTTTTGATTTTTTTTAAAAAATGATACGATAGGATTTTGTGGCTTGGACATTAGAGGGAACCAAAAAGAAGAAATATTACCATTAAAGGAGAAGAATTCTCAATTTTGATTTACTAATATAGGATGGAACAAAATATTTTAACCTTCAACATATTAAAGGATACTTTTTGAACAATGGACCCAGAAGTTAATTTTAAGAGTGTCTGCTTCTACAGATAGATTATGTTTAAAAGATGTTATGGAAGAGGAACAAGTTTTACCGGACACTGAACTGAAGCTGATTTGAAGGTGAATTTGAAGATTTAAATGACAAAATGATATAAAAAAAGGTTACATTTTGCATACAAAAGAAATCAGCTGATGCCTTAATAATTAATAAGGATATATACATAACAAACCAAGAGAGTGACTTGGATAATTTTCCTATATTGTATTTACAAAAGATGCTTGTTAAGGCGTTGAAAACTTTTGGGAGAAAAAAAAAAAGAAAAAATGAAAAGAAACAAAGATTTAGAGGAGTGGTGTCAAACTGGCGGCCTACAGGCTGGATGCGTCACATGCAGACCACGCCCACCCTGGCTCTGCAAAGACAAAAAAGTCACGATACGTCATGTGACGTAATAGTTTGTCACCCGTGTTTTAGAGCATTATTTGAAGGGACGAAAGATCAAGATTCTTAAAAGTAGAAGGAATATAAAGTTGGTTTCTGTAATCATGGTTATAATAGATGTTGTTATCTCTGATACCTCTTAATGTACATTAGCTGATCAGGACTGAAATGATGAGATTTTAAGGATTTGTTTTTAGATAATAAATGGGATATGGGAAGAAAGAATATGTTATATTTTAAAAGAAGGTAACAAGTTAACAAAATTGTTTATGCTTGTGATGAAAGGGACATCATTTTCTATTGTCTGGTATTCCTTTTCCTTTTTTGGACCTTTTTTCCTTTTTCTTTCTTTTTCCTTTTAGTTTGTATTAGGATTTTTTAATCACAGTTGGAATTTTAGTAAAATTACAATTAAAAAAAATCACAGTTGGAATTTTAGTAAAATTACAATTAAAAAGCATTTAGGACATGGACTAGGATTTTGTACATTTGTAAATGCTGAATTTTTAACATGAATAGTGTGTACATTTGGTATTTTTATTTTTCAGCCACCTTCATATGAGCAGGTAATCAAAGAGATCAATCAAGTGCCAATCATCCCAGCCAGCAATAATAATGCTGCCTGTGCTGCTAATTCTAGATGTACTACTACATCTTCAACACAGACTGACTTTCCAGAAGAGATAATCAGCAATTTGCCAGTAATAAATGTGAAAAATAATCTGTCCATTATCTCTGAATGCAAAAATACTCCAGGTATATTGCTGTTAATTTTAGTTGGATGATGTTTAAAAGGATTGTTTTGGATGGAATTTTTTTTTTTTTGATAGATGTATTATGCAAAATATATGTTGAGTTGGTTTCAGCTACTATTTGTTTGACACAAAAGTCTTATAACTGAAATAAGATGGCATTGGTATATGTAATAACATGTAATGTATGCCACCAGGGCACACTCATACAATTAGATTTTCAGAAATGAAATGGTACTGGACTTTTATTTAGATACTCAAGCTTAGATATTGACATAGATTTTGAGTATTGGGTAATTGAAAAGTACTGGGTAATTGAACATCTAGGACAGTGTTTCTCAACCTTGGTAGCTTGAAGATGGGTGGACTTCAACTCCCAGAATCCCCCAGCCAGCAGCGCTGGCTGGGGGTTTCTGGGAGTTGAAGTCCACCCATCTTCAAGCTTCCAAGGTTGAGAAACACTGATCTAGGAGAATATGTCAAAAATACTTTTCAGAAATTAAAAATGTATAAAAAAGCTATAAAATATGAATTCAGGGAAAAGATCTTTCTTTGCCCATAATATCCAAACTTGAAATTCCAAACTTCTTCCAAACTGAAAATAATTTTCCAATTACTTAAAGAAATGAACAAATATTTAGCCAAAGACTACCACAAAGAACATATTTTGCAAAAAGATTTTTCTGGTAAAATAAATGTATAGTAATTTTTATTAACAAAATTTCAGTGCCAAACCAATCCCAAAGGTGTATATCTCAACATTGTCATAAAAAAATCCACCCACAACACGTTTTGTATCCCACCAGTAAAACAATCCATCAATGTTACCTATGTATAGTTGGTGATCCCCAATTATCATGATTGAAATGACCAAAAATAGTTTATAGAATCTTACACAAAATTTATCAGCAAGTAAATTCTAATGCACAGACAATTACTTTAAAGCTCATATCTGGTTAGATATAGTAGTGAAAAGTAAACATATATAAGCTTAGTTAAGATATAATCTATATCTTAATATATATATAATATATATATAATATATCTATAATATAATTCCCAAATTAAATAAATTCTAGTTTATGAATGAATTATCTGAGTCATTTATATTTGTATATAAGTAAAGTGCTTATGAAGCATATTTTATTGGAATTTATGGCACAGTTATTTTAGTAGATATTGACCAAAGTTTGAAAGATAATTTTTGCATATGTTTTCAAAATATGCTTGAACACAATGTTCAATTTCGATAAGTTCTTACATGAACGTAATTTTATAATCTATTTGCTCTTAGCACTGATATTCTGCAGATAGTTGTACTGATTCTATCACTGCAGGACGATTCTATGCAATTATTTATTTTAAAAATGATTAGTCTAATGCAGTGGTTCTCAACCTGTGGACCCCTGGGGGATGTAATGTCATCAGAGGAAATATGTGAAGGCCTGAAGAAATGTTACTTAAATTTTGAGTTAAGTCTTGGTGGTCTGTGGCCATGGTCCATGGCCATAAAATATATTTAAAGGGGGGATCGTGGTGAAGAAAAGGTTGAGAACCACTGGCCTGAGAAGTTATTTGATGTTGCAATCTTTCAATGAAACCTATTGTATATGTACATTGCTTTTTTACAGCTATACATATTTCTCAGAAGCCACCTAGATCTTCATCATCTCTGATAAACAGCAATCTTCCCATAAATGAACAACTCTTAGTTATTTTAGAAGACCAGACATCTCAAGAGAAGTCTAATGCTGCAGTATGTCCTGTGCCAAAACCAAGATCAAAGGGCAATCTGAAACCAGTGGCTAAAGACAATCAAGCAAACAATCAGGAACAAACGAGCCAGTCAAGGAGCGAAAATGATGAGTTAACTAATCCTTTGATGTTCCTACTAGACAATAGCCTTAGAGAAAGTCATATAGTAATGGACAGCATGGATACAGACAAGAACCAAAGTAACATATTATCACGGATTAAATCATTTGAGATGCAAGGGAACGTTGAAACTTCGGGACTAACCAAGAAACCAGAAGCATCTCCACGCTCATTAGGCCCCAAACCTATCATTAGTGCAAAAAAGCCTGTAGTGGCACCAAAGCCAGGCCTTAACAGAGTATCGGGAGAATGGGAGTCTTGGACAGAAAAGAAGCAAAAAGTTGCCTCTCAAGAGAAGCCCCTTCAGGCTGAGGAAGTTGAGAGCAACATTATAACCAAGCCTGAATTGCCAAAGAAGCCAACATTAGTGACTGTAAAGAGTAATAGCAATGGGCTCCTTAATTCAGGAACTGGATCAGCTTTGGAGAATACTGATGGACAGAGAAAACTTCCCATTCCTGCTCCTAGGCCACTTCTTCCCAAGAAGTCCGTCTCTTTTGAAAGTCCTTCCCTTCCTATGCTTCCCCTGAAACCAACAAGTACTGTTCCCAAGCCCTCTCTAGCTGCCCAATCAAATGCCTTTAGATCCCCAGGGGAGTGTTGTCCAAGCAGTGTTGCAGCATCTCCAACACAAAATATTACTTCTGCAGAAGGAGATCTGATCAGCTTTGACGATGATGTTTTATCGTTTAACCCTGTCAAGGCTGTTCAAGAAATTTCTCATTCAGAATCAGGTAAGCTTTAAAAAGAGAAAATGAGCTTTTGTAAAAAAAAAAAAAAAGGTGTATAATAAATGCAGGCGCATTTCAATAGCAACATTAGTACGTATATAAAAGTTATGAAACCAAAACTCATTCATCTGCAAATGTTTCTGTCTATAATGGATTTGGTCGGATGCACTGGAGAGTTTTCCAGTTGAGATCTATGGTATCAAATCAGTGCCTATTAAAGATTACACTGTTTGACTTTATCCTCCAAATACATGGTTTGCAGAATTACTGGATTTTTGTTTGTTTGTTTGTTACTATCTTCCATGTTCTCCAAGGTAACAGAAATGTGATAACGGTAGATGCTATTAATTTGAATTACAATAGGTCAGAGACTCCAGATAAACTTTCAGATTATAGCCAGGATTGGTTTGTGTGCTTAATTTTAAGGAAGCTGTATTCTGGAGTGGCCCTCCTTATATTTGATTTCTTAGAAAACACGTGCTTGAATAACATCAAAGGAAAACATTGTTTTGAAAATACTATTGCCACATCTAACAGTAAATACTGTAAATTGCAAGAAGTTTCTGTAAATGTTTCAAACTGGGTAACATTGGGTCAGGAACTCCACTCCTGAGTAGCACTGATGATGTTACCTAGTTTGGGTAATGAAACATCTGCAAGAAAACAACCAAAGCTCAGGGAGCACCAAGGACCTCTCATTTCAACCCTGGGCTACATTCGCCTTTATTTTACTTTTTTTGTTCTGCTGCCATTATTCCTTTCGTTGCTTATTATCTGGAACCCCTCCAATTCTCATTATACCTTTTGTGCTTATTTATCTGAATCCCCTCCACCATTTTGCATATTTGAAAGGGAGGGAAAGATGATATATAGTATTGTATAATATATTTTATACTATCCAGTATAGTAGTAAACTATTAATATTTTTTTCAGATTATTCTTAAGGCATATGCATGCACATATTTGCCTTGGTATATTTCATAATAATTTGATTTCCAATTTCTCAAATCCTTTCTAATTAAAATTTGTAAATATTTGGTATTTTTTGAATTATGAAATTTTAGTTATTTCAAGTATTGACTTGTTCAGACTTTACAACAAATAGAACTGAACATTAGTCTGTAATTGAACAGAAAAAACAGGCACTGGCTAATGGTTGATTTTTTTGAAATTCAGTTCAATTATTTTTTATTAGACTTTCATAAGGCTTGCATAAAAGATACTAAGTTTGAGGTCTGATAATAACATTGAGGAGCTACAGTATGTACCAGAGAGGTTAAGAACTAAATAAATGTACTTGTATGAGTTTACATGTCAAACTCAAACTGTTGCAAGAGTGATTGCAATTCTGGGAATCACTCTGAACACATTTGAAATTTAATAAGCTAATTATTGTTACTAAAAATGCAGATGGAATATACTGATGCTGATAATTAGCTGGTACAAATACTATATTAACCTTAGTAAATTTTTAGCTCTAGAATAGTAGAAATAGGCTACTTTTGTGTAGATCTGTGAGCAATAGCAATAGCACTTATATACGCTTCATAGTGCTTTACAGCACTCTCTAAGCGGTTTACAAAGTCAGCATATTTCCCCCAACAATCTGGGTCCTCATTTTACCAACCTCAGAAGGATGGAAGGCTGAGTCAACCTTGAGCCTGGTGAGATTCGATCTGCCAAACTGCTGGCAGCCGGTGATCAGCAGAAGTAGCCTGCAGTACTGCACTCTAACCACTGCGCCACCGCAGCTCATATATTAGAAATACAGCTTTATATACTGATTTATGAAAGATTTTCAACCAGTGTATAGCAAAGGTCCCAGTGAAAGAAGAATCTTATTATATTTAACAATGTTTATAGGCAGATTTTTAAAGTAGATCAATAGTACTTTATTTATACAAAAATAAAATGATACTAAAAAAACCCCTGATTTTCTATTGAAGCTCTAGTTAATTTAGATATCAAAGAATGAAAGTTATAATTTACTTTAAAAACTATAGAACTGATTTGTGAATTTAAAACCAGACATTCCTGCAGTTATTTCCATTTCATCAACATGACCAGCTACGGGGGTGAAAAATTATAATTATGAGAATAGTTCTTTCTTTCTGTTTGGTGTGATTCGTGTGGTAGCACTCAAGCTAATTTCATAGGGTGATTGGCTGAAGAATTCACATATCCTCTCTCAAAACTTTCTGGACTTCACCCTCTGGTCCCACCTCCTGTTCTGGGGTACTGGCTTCGTAGTTCTTGCTGCCACCAACTCTGTTCAAGAGGTGAGAGAAAGAGGCATTGTGGCCTTGTAACCTCCCCTTTAACTTTGAGTGTGAGCAAGACAGTTGGCAAGTAAGAAGGTAAAAATAAGAATACGAGAGTAATTGCACCTCCTGGCCATATAGCATCAAGACAAGTGACTAGGGGTGGTGTCATTCCATTTCCACCACTTTCACCCTGGGAGAAAGATCTCAAAAGAGTAAATTAAAAAAACTTACAAAAGTAAATAAAAAAACAGTTGTGTGTATGTGTGTATAAATTTATATAAACTCGTGGCCTATGTATTGTTGCAAGAGCTAGTGTACTGAGCTGGTGAATTACACCAGCTGGCAGATAATTTAAACTCAAAAATTCAAAAGACCACAAGATGGTACTGATCTGATCTTTTATTTCCAGATTAAGCACAACAATTGCTCCCTGGAACTCCCTAGAACTCCCTAGAGCTGTGATGGCGAACCTATGGCACGCGGGCCAGAGGTGGCATGCAGTGCCCTCTCTGTGGGCATGTGAGCTGTTGCCCCAGCTCAGCTCTGCCATGCATGCACGCGCGCCTCCTGCCAGCCAGCTGGCCTTTGGGTCTCTGCCGTGCATGCACGGGAGAAGGTGCATGGGGGGGACACACGCATGCGCGGGGGGCGGGGTGCAGGGGGGGCTGCACGCATTGCATTTTGGGGGTGCAAGGGTGCACGCTTTGGACACTCGGTCTGGAGAAGGTTAGTCATCACTGCCCTAGAAAATAACACATTTTCCTACTCAGGAAAGAGAGGGCCTGATGCATTTGCCTTTTTTTTTTCTGTGAACAAAGTCAATGCTTCCCAGTGTATATTCACTGTCTTAGTAACTGGCTGTCATTCCTGTGAATTTAGACTGGCATCATCACATTGGCATTGTGGGAAGTCTGATTATCAAGTTGCTGCAGGCCTATGCAGAATTGAAGAATGAGATAACTGGCAACGGAAAGAGGCTTTTGTAGCCTTTCAATGTGAAGGCAGATAAGACAGATGTTATGTGTGTTTTGGAAAGCTTTATAGGAAGTAAAAAATAATAATAAACCAAGAAAAACATCAAATTGCCAAAAAAAGCAAGCTCAGCAGCCAAAGAATGTTCAGGGCAAATTGGAAAAAAAAAACAAAAAAATCCCTGAGAATGAATGTGAGTGAAATGCTCTGTTTGGAGGGAAGCGGTCAAGCCCCTAATAGCAGTTCTCAACCAAGGAAGCAGGATTCACACAATCTTATTAATAAGAGTTAAGATTTTAAAATCTTGTAAACTAATTTTTTTTAAAAATTACTCCTTATTTATTATTGAACCTTTTAAGGAGAAGCTTGTGTGAGTTATTTGAATTTAATTCTTCAAATTCCGTAACTGATTGCGGATGCCACACACAACAGATAAGGCTGAAATGTCCGTCTGTTCCTCATTTGCAATATTTTGAAAGACAGCCTTATCTTTTACTAGGCTGGAATTTCCTTTTTGAAATTTACTGCAAACTTTAGACTGTGGTTGGTGTAGATATTTCTTTCAGCATACAACCCTAAACTTCTATGAGCGTTACTGATGTTTCCTTTTGAATGGAAACAGAATAAAATGCTGTGTTTGGCATTTTTCTTAGATCTTACCAATTTGCCATCCAAAGCTGAATCTGCAAAAGAGCAACCACTTCAGCCAGCTGTTGTGCGTAAACCTACTGTAATCCGAATCCCATCTAAACCAGCAAAAGGTAATATCCATAATATCCATCCAGCCAGCCAGCCATCCTGCATGAAACATACGATCTCTCTTTTTGCCTAAAGTTGTTTTTCATAGAACATATTACCTCAAAGATGATTTTTCTAAATTTTAGACAAACCCCTGAAAAAAACAAAGAATATTTTTTAAAAATTATAATCACAAATATAATCCTCCCTTCCTCTTCTTGCTAAACTTGGCTTGCCAAGTCTAAATAAAACAAAACTGGAGATTTCATACATGTTCAGATATTTATCTATGTGTACTTAATTTTGGAATTCAGGTTTCCTTTTCTCAAGGCTCAAGTAAACCATAATGAACCCATTAGAATTGGGCAGCTAATCAAATAAATAATAATTCAATACTTACTCCCCTCCCTCCTTCTAGGAGGAACAGAAAAAAAGTAGGGAAAACCAGAATGGAGATAGCAGTGAGTGTCGTACCTGTACTGGAAGGGAGGGAGGGAGGGAGGGAGAGAGAGAGAAAGAGAAAGAAACACTCAACACACAACAATTTGTACAATAACTCTTTGAACTTTTGGGGCACCAGGAACGGTTCTGTGGAGAGAGGTTTTTCTATCGATCGGAAGGGTGGTGGTTTTGCGTGCTGCCTGCATTCTGCAGATGGGGCTTTGCTTGTTTCTGGCATGACGTGGCCTGGTGCTGGTCCACGGAAGGGGATTGGGGACCCCTGAGTTACAAGGTCATTGAATAAAGGGACATATGAATGGCTCTTAAAAGTCACGGTTGTTGCAATGTTCTTGCAGTCATGTAAACAAAATGTGGGCACTTGGCAACCAGCTCACACCTAAAACTGGTTGCAGCATCTCAAGTCAAATGGTCACCATTTGCAACTTTCCCCGCCAACTTCCCCCAAGCAAAATCAAGCCATTTAGACTTGACTTTGTTTCCCTCATTCCACTCATCAGCCTTTCTTTGCTCACATGTATTGTACCCTCCTTCCCCCTTTGCTTGTTTGCATGCAATGCACCCTCCCCCCTGCCTCATGTATTTGCATGTACCATGGCTTCCTTCCCCTTTTTGTTTGCAGACATGCATTTAGCCATGCCTTCCTTCCTGGACCTCCTGCACTTTATCTCCTCCTCCACAGTCCTCCCTGGACTTGCAAGGACCTGCACCTTCCATCCCAGACCTTCCTATCCTGAACATACGACAGCAGCCCCTTCCCCCAACTTACATGCAGCTAGTGCTAGGGTCTATCCCATCCAGCTATGGACTCTGGTGCTTCTTATCAGGAATTCCTGCTGCTTCTTGCTTAATGACTTGCATGTCTTGGAGTATGATGGCAACCAGGACTAAGTGATGCAGTCCTGTGATGTTGTGCTTAACAACCCATTACTTCGTGATGGCAATCCTGGTCCCAATTGCCACCGTAACTCGAGGACTACCTGTAGTGCAATTCCGCTATCAGTGAGACTTGTTATATTTTTCCATTGAATATTCTTGTAGAATAACTTTAATAATATTTCTTTAATAATCAAAATCTGAATTTTGATACTTAACATTGGAAAATTATAAATATTTTTGCAGCTTTAAATGACATTCTGGAAAGCCCTCCTCCATTACCTACAGAGAAACCAATTGGAAGCACATCTGGTATTGCAGCTGGAAAACTCAATAACATCAACATAATTAACAAGGTAATGCCCTTCCTTCCTTCCTTCCTTCCTTCCTTCCTTCCTTCCTTCCTTCCTCCCTCCCTCCCTCCCTCCCTCCCTCCCTCCCTCCCTCCCTCCCTCCTTTCTTAAAAAATGAAGCCACATTAATACACTATTTTACTTAATCTTTAAGTGTTACACTGCTTAATGTGCATATTTCACCAATTATGTTCTCTCCCCCTCCCCAAAATAGTACAAGTGAGAAAATAACTACAATCTTCAAATAAATAAATTCAGATTCCTTGCATTCAGACCTATCCGGTTCCTGCTTTGGTTACTGCACTTGCCTTGCCTCATTCCAACCAATTTTCCTAGATAGCATATAATCCTGCTTTCGTTTGTACTGTGCGTTGTTGAATCACTCATATGAAAGACTATTGAAACTCTGAAAAATTGTCCATTCGATCTTGTAATTTTTGACTTTTTAACCATATCATGTATTGAAATAAAAAGTTCATCCATTTTTAACAAGATCAGCAGCCACCATAACCCTGCTGCACTTGCATTGAAGCTCCCGTGCCACCCATGTTCCCCTTGCACACTCTGCTTGAGGTACCCCTCCCCTGCCACTTACACATCCTCATGCTTGCACCTCCTTGTGCACCATTGCTCACTTTCTCCCCCACCCAACGGTAACTATCCCAAGCACTGCCATGCCCATTTCGCCATCTGCACACACCTCAATCCATTGCCACTGGCAGCAGTCACTTACCTGCCTACTGGCCTATATCCAAGCTGCCTATGACTTACAACTTTCTGATGGCTTCTCTGCTGCCTTGTGGTTGTTGGAAACCAGCAGGAAGTTGTGAGGAGCTGCTTGCTTAATGACCCACAACCCTCATTTAATGATAGCAACAGGGATTCCATGGACTGCCATCGCTAAGCAATGTGTTACCGTATGTGACATTGCAATTTGCTGTCAGATTGTTTAGTGACAAACATTCTGGTTCTAAGTGCAGTCGTAACTTGAGGACTACCTGTATGTACACAAAAGCAAGTGTGGTGTAATGGCTAAAAGCACCAGGCTAAAAACCGGGAAACTGAGTTCTAGTCTGCCTTAATCATGAAGTCAACTGGATCTTTCTTTCTTAATCTTAGGAAGAGGGCATTTGGCCAAAAATGTTGCCAAGAAATTTGTATAGACTTGTCCAGGCAACTACCAGTCCTTTTCTTATCTGACATTTTACTTTGAAATAATCATAACAATTCCAATGGTTTTTGTGTCCAAATAATAATAACATTTAATGACCCAATAGGAACCTGAACAGCCCAGCTTGATACAGCCAATCAAGAATGAGCCTGTTCTGCCTCCAAGGTGAGTAGCAAAGGAGCAGCAGTGGGATTGGTGTTGTGCAGTACATATTCTGCTACCACTTTATAATATTAGTATTAGTTGTATAGTTTTAATTTGTTACATTATATGGCAAAAAGTAAAATATTCTACAATTTTAAAAATACATATGGACTATAGATTATATTGATTATTCTGTAATTTCACCATAGAAAATATAAATAATTATGTTCACAGTCTGACTGATTCTTAATATTTAGCAGAATAGTATGTTATGAAGCTATGGGAGAGTATACAGTAGTAAATCAGTGTTTGTTGTCATTGTGAATAACCCAAAGCAGATCTTCAGTTTTAATTTTAATCTGTTTAACAAATTACACAAGGTAATTAGAATTAGAATTGATTAGAAAAACAAAACAAAAAAATGCCAACTATTTAACAGGGGAATCTAACAATGAAGTTGCTTCCAGTGGTATTCTAATGGTTTTAGTCAATGGGATTCTGATGTTTTAGTCAAGCCAATGCAATCCTTTTTATATTGTGTTTTCTTGATTGAAATTGTCTTAACTATATGAAGACCTGTTTTACTCAACTGTTTCCACGTAGAATACCATTCTCATCTTATTTTCAGATAGCTAATATAATATTGCTGAGATGTATACATTTGGCATTTGAATTTCATTTTTACAGAAGAGAGATTATTAAGTTGTATATTGTGTATTATGTGTAAAAATATAGTTTAATAAGAAGCCAATCACTGATTCCTCTGGATCTAAAGAGAGTCTAGTGCTCTTAGCAGATTCTTAAAAAAACTCTTTAACGGGGATTAGTATTACTTCTAATGTATCCATAATTGTAATGGTATATGGAGATGTTTTTGGGAGACGAGGAGGAGGAGAGAAGAGATGCTACCTGCCTAGGGAACAGTCAGATGAGAGAAAATTATGAATGGATCATTGTGGAGAAAATCTTCATAGTCACCAGGAATCACAAACAACTTGATGGCACATAATTAACTTAGCAATAGTTTTTAATAATTCAGAGTGTATTTGTAATATAATTGGAATAGAATGTGTTTTCTAATACTATACTTTCTTTATAATTTCTAGACCCGTTCAGGGGAAAATCATACCATCTCGGCCTTCTCCACCTAAAGGGGCCCCAGGAAGACCACCCCCCCCAAAATCCACCAAAATCTCATCAGATACTGATAGATTTCCACGCTCGTCATCTGATGTGACACTCCATAAGAAACCTAGCATGCTTGGATTGGGAATCAAAAAAACAAAGAGTGATGATTTTAACAAACATGGCTCAGATTTACCCCCTCGACCCAAGCCAGGTCATCCTCTATACAATAAATACATGGTGAGAAGATTAATTTCACTAGGGGGAGATGTGACTTTGTACATACCATCTCTTATTAAAAGAGTAGGCAGATTGATTTTAATTGTATGAAAGTTCAGCAAATAAAATATATTTCCAGATGCACTTTCTGGTAGCATTGGAGTTTTATAGAGTTCCATCATTTTTCTCCCTTTTAGGATATAAAATTTAATATAATTTTAGTGGAATAGAATAGAATAGAATAGAATAGAATAGAATAGAATAGAATAGACTGGAAGGGACCTTGGAGATCATATAGTCCATCCTCCTGCTCAAGCAGGAGACACTATACCATTTGAGACAAGTGGTTGTCCAGTCTTCTTAAAAACCTTCAATGATGAAGCACCCACAACTTCTGAAGGCAAGCTGTTCCACTGGTTAATTGTTTTCATTGTTAGGAAGTTTCTCCTTAATTCCAGGTTGCTTCTCTCCTTGATTAGTTTTCATCCATTGTTTCTTGTCTTACCCTCTGGTGCTTTAGAAAATAAGTTGACCCCCCCTTCTTTGTGGCAGCCCCTCAAATACTGGAATACTGCTACTATGTCAACCCAAGTCTTCCTTTTCTCTATACTAGCCAAATGCAAATCTTGCAACCGTTCTTCATATGTTTTAGTCTTCAGGCCTTTAGTCATCTTACTTGCTCTTGTCTGCACTTTTTGGAAAGTCTCAACATCTTTTTTGTAGTGTGGTGACCAAAACTAGATGCAGTATTCCAAGTGTGGTCTTACTAAGGTTTTATAAAGTATTACTAAATACTTTTCAAATACTTTGGCCACCTAATGAGAAGGAAGGGCTCACTGGAGAAGAGCCTAATGCTGGGAAAGATTGAGGATAAAAGAAGAAGGGGATGACAGAGAACCAAGTGGCTGGATGGAGTTACTGAAGCAGTAGGGTGAACTTAAATGGACTCCAGAGGATGGTAGAGGGCAGGAAGGCCTGGAGGAATATTGTCCATGGGGTCGCGATGGGTCAGACATGACTTTGCAACTAACAACAACAACCAAATACTTCACATGATTTTGATACTATGCCTGTGTTTATATTACCAAAGATTGTGTTAGCTTTTTTAGCTGCTGTCGCACACTGCTGGCTCATATTTAAGTAATCATCAATTAGGATTCCAAGGTCCCTCTCATGGGTACTGTTTTTAATTTAATTAATTTAATTTAATTTATCGCATTTCTATGCCGCCCAACTCCCAAGGGACTCTTGGCCAGGTTTCGCCTAATCTGTACTTACACCTTTGGTTTTTTCTGCCTAAATGTAAAACTGCTTTTCTCCACATTAAAATTTATTTGTTGGATAGGTCCCATTGTTCAAGTCTGTCAAGATCCTTCTGGATCCTGAGCTTGTCTTCTGAGGTGTTGGCTATTCCTGCCACCTTAGTGCCATCTGCAAATTTGATGAGTTCCCCTTCTATTCCCTCATCTAAGTCATTTATGAAGATATTGAAGAGTACTAGGCCTAAGACGGAACCTTGTGGTACCCCACAGCTTACTTCCCTCCATGTAGATGTAGTACCATTAAGAAGTAAGTACCATTTGTCATGACATAGCAATGTGGCTCTTCAACAACCCAAAAAAGGAACAAAAAACAATATGGCCCTCGTAGCAAATTGTTTGCCCTTTCCTGATGTGGACCAGTCTATGTCTTTTAGGAGTTGAACAAAACTTAATTTAAATCATAGCTAACAGTGTAGCTGTATGGGCAAGTATCAGGTCTTGAAACCTATCAAATAACAAATGAGGTAATTATGTCAATGTGGAGTATTTTCCATCAGCAGTTATGCACAAAAACCTATGGGAACTAAAAGGAATACAAAACCTTGTGCAAAATTCAAACCAGGGATTTCTCATTTTGTGAAAAAAGAACTGGAATTAACTAGTTGTAGGATTAATGGGACAACAGTGCCATAGTTCATTTGGATCCCCAAAATGAATCCCAGAAAAGAAAATGACATGCAATACTTGAATACATTTTCATGACAAATAGAAAAAGCATGAAAATGTATATTAGATATCAAAAGTTATTTTTGACTGAAATGTGAATCCTTTGTTTCAAGCTTCCTGTGCATCATGGAATTGCTAAAGAAGACATTTCACCTCAAAATGCTGGACATCTCTCTTGTAAGGTAATGCTGATTTCTACATCAATGGAAGTGTGTGTTTCTGTCTGTCTGTCTGTCTGTCTATGTGTAATATATTTAGTCATCTAACTTTTTATAATTTTGAAGTGTGGAAATGTACTTTTTTCTGGTGGATCAAGTTGAGAATACCTACATAAAATGCAAAAATGGAGAAGAAACTGGCAAAGTTATCTCAAATGCAGATAATAACTCCCCTGAGTGTGCAAAGCAAACAGCAGGTATAAATTTTGATAATTAAACACTATTCTAGGCATACAATATTGTCTGGAATATGTATCCCAATCCCAAATATAATTTTTGCAGCATAGTGTAAGGGTCTGTTAAATATTTTATCATGTTGGACTCCTTCAAAGATTTAATAAGAGTCCCTTGGATGACTGAGATGGCATATGAACTGAATAAACAAAACATCTTCCAAAAACACGTTGCGTTTTATAGCAGTAACTATTTATCAAAGGGATTGAATGTTACTCTCACTATTATAATGTTAGCATCTACAAGAATTAGAAAATATGAAAAACAAGGAGGAATTTGGGAATATTTAATTCAAAGTACCCAAAGCAGATTATGCAAAAGTGATTTTGTTTTTAATGATGTACATGCTGTATTGGCTTATTAATTTTCAATAGGATTGACTGTATTAAAATCCAAATTGATTTCCCTTAGCGTTTGGGAATGTTGTATTTGAAATCAGTGAAGAGAGTACTTTAACTCAGCAATCAATGTTCCAAATATCAGTTCAGTGACTCGAGAAATGATAGAACAACAGTTATTTGTAATTTCCAAATCTGTTGTATTTTTAAGGATTCAGCTAACATGCAGAAGATTAGTGATTCAAGTGTTCCTCACGCAATAGTGCTGCATAATTTCACAGCAGGTAAGAAGTGAGATCAGAGTAAATTGAAATATAGTTTTGCTCTTTGAATGATTCTTAATATACTTTGGTTTACTTTCTGCAGCATGCTAAAATTTGAATCCCTTGGACATCCTGATCTTAAAGCTTGTTAGTTGCCATGTCCTGACATTAAATTCAAAGCCTTTTGCTTCTGGCATATTCCTTGGTGCAAAGGTTGGTGGGGAGAGAAATATTAGCAGATGCTCGAAGCCTCTGTCCTCAATGATTTGAATTTCATTTCTTTTTTCCTTTGGTTTTTCTGCTTAGGTTGCTTTCTTCTCCACCGAGAGTCTCATCGCTGTCTTTTTGTACTCCTCAGTAAAACTCAGAGCATTGACCTTTAATGCTCTGTTAAGACCTTTAAAGCTGTTGGCTGCCTATTCCTTTGCCCTAAATTTATGTAATGTACTGTAGCTACCAGAAATAGAGCTAAGTGAGATTTTATTTTTGATTTGGTAAATACCAACTAAACCAGTTTTATTTTTAATTTTTATGTAGAACATACTGATGATTTGGACCTTAGTATTGGAGACACTGTTTTACTTCTGGAAAAAATAGATGATGAGTGGTACAGAGGAAAATGCAAGAATCGTACTGGGATTTTTCCTGCTAGCTTTGTCAAAATTATTGTAAGTATATTTCTCATTTCAAGTGAAATATAGTGCATTTCATCTGGGTTCTCATTTGAGTTCTAATTTAATTTTTCTCCTGTGCATTTTATTGAGCATATCATGTAGTTAAATCTTGCTTGAGTGCACAAAGCAGATATATTTTTTGTAACATGCAGCAAATCTATTTAAATATGTAACTGACTTAATCTTTATGGTTTTCATTTTTACAATAAATTGAAATTGTGAGAAAATACCCTTCTACTTATTAACCTATTAATAACTTTATTAACCTATGCTTAATTTCAGCTGGTATATTAATATTCTACCAGCTATACTGGATTAACACTAACAATCTCACAACTACATCATTGCTTCACATTTTGTGCGATGCTGACGGTAATCCAAAAGTGTCAAGCCCCACAGAGCTGGTATTAGTAAGAAAGCAAGAACAACATGGGTTCCACAAGGGTGTGTCCAGTGTTAGTTTGGTATAAATAGAGAATTTTTTAATACTGTAATACAATTTTTTCAGCTTCCATTATAGTGAGCTAATTAAAGTGAAGTCTTTAAAACATATTTTCCATGAAATTTCCTTAGAGATGCAATTATGTTAATTTCTCAACTGACTTGGTCTAAGCTTTCCCATAATTTCTTCACAAAAAGCTGCATCAGAATAACAGAGCTGAAAGGGATCTTGGACATCTTCTAGCCCAATCCCCTGGTCAAGCAGGAGGCCCCATACCATTTCAGATAAATGTTGTCTAATCTCTTCTTAAAAAGCTCCAGTGATAGAGCACTCACAATTCTAAAGGCAAGCTAATGAATTTTTCTCATGTCAGCAAATTTCTTCTTAGTTCTAGGTTGGATCTCTCCTTGATAAGTGTTCTGACCCAGCTCCCCAAACACGACAAACCCTCTGTATTTGAAGCAATGATTTCTTTATTAGGAGCGCCAGCAGCCCCGGCAAAAAGTTTCTCTTTCACCTCAGGCTAACAAATCTGTCTGGCAGGGGAGATGAAAAGTTGTCTGCCACATTTATTCATCTCCGCCCCATGTCTTTTATCCCCAGAGCTAGGGTAGGGCTTCGCTAGCAGCGGTGGCTCTTCCTTCCCAAGGATCGACCCACAGATTTCCACTGCTCTCCTTTCTTCCGCCTTCTGCGCATCCGCGCATCAGGCACTGGACCCAGCTATTCTTCCTCTTCCTCATCAGCCGCCTCCAGACCTGGGGGCTTTGACTCTCCATCTGAGGGCTGACGGACGGCCCAGGCTCCGCCTATGCCTCTCTCTCTGCTAGCTCCATTCCCTCTCCCCCCTGGTCTCAGGTTGCCTTGATGCTGACCCTGATTCCCATGCTGCCTCCTCATCTGATTCGGCTGCTGGAGGGGCCGTGGCTGAGAGGCCACAAGAATAAGTTTCCATTTGTTACTTCTTGTCCTGCCTTCAGGTGCTTTGGAGAAGAGGTTGATCGCCTCTTATCTGTGACAGCCCCTCAAATATTGGAAAATTGCTATCATGTCACCCCAGTCCTTTTCTTTGTTAGACTAGATATATACCCAGCTCTTGCAACCGTTCTTCGATTTTAGCCTCCAGCCCCCTAATCATCTTTGTTGCATTTGTAGAATTCCCCCCCCCCTTTTTTTTTCCTACCTGGCCACAGTATTTTCAAGACTATGGTTAGCCGGAGTTCCTGTTTTTAGGGAAACAGCAATGGGATTATCCAGCAATTGCAAAACATTAAAAATAACATACTAGAGATTCTGGGTAACATATTATTACAATCATATTCTTAATTTTTTCCTTTTGTATAAATATAATGATAGCATTTGAGACATATATTTTTTGGGTGATGAAAGGAGAAAAAAACCTGCTGAAGTGTATAATGCTTGAATAATGCTAACTGGTATGAAGTGAAAAAAATCACAATAGACCACAGTGTCAATTAGGAGCACAAGGCAAAAGCAACAATAATTTTTAAAATTGCACGTAGTATTGATTTTTGTCATTATATGAGCAATCAAGAGAGGATTGTTAGCATCAGATTTGCAGTTAAGCCCAAGAAATGAAAATCAGAAAGAAGTACAATGGCGCATCTTCTAATATACTGACTGAAGAAAAATGACAACAAAGCAAACCTCTTACTAAATTATTGTAAATGCTCAGCATTTCTATATGAAGAGATACAGTTAGAATTGCAGTTTGACCAAGCAAGTTTGATAAAAATTAGGCTTGCTTTTCAGATTTAAAGGCTAAGAGAAAGCACAAGAATATTCCTACGTCGGTTTTATAACAACTTCTTTTTTTAAATCCTGCCTTTATTATTTTTATAAATACAGGTAGTCCTCGACTTGTGATCACAATTGAGCCCAAACTTTTTGTTGTTTAGTGAGTTTTGTCCCATTTTATGGCTTTCCTTGCCACAGTTTTTAGATGAATCACTGCAGTTGTTAAATTAGTAACAGGGGTAAGTGAATGAATGAATTTATTTATTGATTAGCCCTTGGGCCATATCAAAGTGCAGAGTTCCAGAAACAAATCATTACAAAAGTTTGGTAAAACAATTTAAATGAAATTGGAATAACACACAATTAAAAATGCAATTAGAATAAAATACGATCTAAAATGAAATCAGAATAAAATACGTTAAGTGAATCTGGCTTCCCCATTGGCTTTGCCTGTCAGAAGGTTGAAAAGGAGATCACATGATCTTGGGACACAGCAACGGTCATAAATAAGAACTACATGCCAAGCAACTGAATTTTGATCACGTGGCCATGGGAATGGTCATAAGTGTGAAAAACAGTCATAAGTCATTTTTTTCATTGCCTTTGTAACTTCAAACGGTGACTAAATGAACTGTTGTAAATTGAGGACTACCTATAACTCAAAGCAGCAAACATGCCTCATACTTCTTCCTTCTATTTTTCCCACAACAACCCAGTGAGGTGGGTTGGGCTGAGAGAGAATGACAGGCCCAAAGTTACCCAGCCTGTTTTCATGCCTAAAATGGGACTAGAAGTGGCAGTGTTGTGATTTCCAGCTTACTGCCTCAACCACTAGACCAGGGCTGTCAAACTCTCAGTCTGGGGACTGGATGCATCACGCGCTGGCCACACCCATGCCCAATTTAGGGAAGGGGAAGAAAGTCGCGATACATCACGTGATGCCGCGTCAAGTTTGACACCCCTGTACTAGACCAAACTAGTGACTGGGTTTTCAGGAACTCAGAAGTATGGATCTACGCAATTCTTGACTGCAAAAAGTCAACTGTGCTGTCACGGTCATTGCAACCTATTCGTGGGGCTGGGCCAGCCTTAATGGCTTGGACAGCTGTCTTCTGAAACTGCAGTACAATCCAGGATAAAGATGTATTTGGTTTAAACCAGGGGTCAGCAACCTGCGGCTCCGGAGCTGCATGTGGCACTTTGGGCCCTCTCCTGTGGCTCCCTGTCAGGTGATCCCATCACTGGCTGGGCCCGCCCCTCACCCTTCCCTCCCAGTCACTCCTCGCCTGGCCTGAGAAGGTAAGGGTTATGGTGGGGGATGGAGAAGCGGCCAGGGCAGAGACAGCGAGATAAAGAGAGAGAGGGAGAGAGAGAGACATAGAGAGATACAGAGAGAGAGGGAGGGGGGAGGGAAGAGAGATATGTCAAAAGGATTTTATGGTTCCAGGTGTTTTTTAACAACTGGTTCTCTGCCCTAATGACCGGCTGGGTAGGCATGGCTAGGGGGGTCATGTGACTGGTGGAAGTGAGTAATATCGAGTTGGCCACACCCACCCAGGTTTTGTGGCTCCCGGTGTTTTCTTTTCTGTGGGAAACGGGTCCAAATGGCTCTTTGAGTATTTAAGGTTGCAGACCCTGGTTTAAACATATGCAACTCCTTGCTGATTGTGCATTTTCCTGCACTTTAAAATCTTTTCTGACCTTTGAAGGATGAATAGAGCCCTAATAATTTTTTCAATAGAAATTAATTAAGGTATGTAGATAAAACGGTTAAATGTACCTATTGTCTCCTTCCTAGACTGATACTCCAGGAGAAAACAACTGGAAAAAGGAGCAGCTTTCACCATCCAATATTGTGTAAGTTTTCGTAGAAGGGTTGACTTTGTGGTCTTGAGGTTTAATGCAGATTTATTTTCCATTCATACAAAGGTAGTCTGGTTACCACTCACAGCAAGTAAAATCCTGATTTGGAGACTTCAAACACAGAATAATTCTTGGAAAGGGAATTATAAAATAGCATATCACAGTACATTACAAAACAAAGTCATAGAATTGTTTAGTTTAAGGATTTTAAATATTTTAAATATTTATGGTTTGGGTAGTTTGACTAATTGGAAAAATATTTATTGAAAGCTATTTTCTTGTCTATGCTGTTGATTTCTGAAAACTAGTTTTAAAAAAACCAGTTTTCTTCTTTTTCTTCAAAAGCAGTGTTAATGTGGTAAAGAATATATTTGTGTATACAATATAAATGTTATTTTCTCTTGCAAATTAAGGTAAATGGCAAATGGCATATCTCAAGTCTTTTGGAGACTGACTATATTGTTTTTAACTCTCTGTTAGGACTCTTAACCATTGTTGGTGCTCTCCAGATCTCATTGTCTTGATGTCTAAAATAGCTTACTCTCTTGAAATCTCTTTCTCTCCAATCACTCCTTTCAGCAGCGATGGAGGAATGGTCAGGCAAAGGAGAGATTGTGTAAAAACGCATTTCTTCCCCCCAGACAAGAGAGATTGGCGAGAAAAATGTAATGCATAGGTCACCAATGGGTCCCAGACAAAGGCTGCAACTGGGATCAAATTGCTTTCAATTACACAAGAGCAAAAAGTCAATTCTCTTGCAATCTATTCTTTCCAAATTTCTCTGCTCTGCAGAGGTCAGTAACAATCACATGACAGGAATTATGCGAAGGTTGTAAATGGACCTTAAAGTTATGTTTTTCAGCACTGTACACACACACACACAAATATTTTTTTTACTAGATCTACTACAGATACAGATACAATATATGATAGCAATATATATATATTTTGGCAAAAAAAAAAAGACTTTATGCAGTGTATATTTCTTCAAAGTTCTTCTAGTAGAGAAATCATTCAAATAATAAATATGTGATACAAGTCTAACAGACAAATATAAAAACATGGGCCTAAATGATGTAAAATGGTTTTACTTTTTTTGTATTAATAGTGAATATATATTTAATACAGTGAACTCAGAAGCATAAGTGAAACGAATGAAAGAATGATATTTTTCCTTGTACTATTTTTTCTTTCTTTGTTATTTTAGTGGCCCAAGATGTAGAGCTAGATTTGAATACATTGGAGACCTGAAAGATGAATTAAGTTTTTCAGAAGGTGAAGTTATTATTTTAAAAGGATATATTAATGAAGAATGGGCCAAAGGAGAGCTGAGAGGTACTTCTGGAATTTTTCCCTTAAATTTTGTGGACGTTATTGAAGATCTACCTGAGTCAGGTAAAAACAACTAACCAACTGGTGAAGAAAAAACAGCACCTCACAGTAAATAATTAATGACCAAAATGCCTTATTAATAAAGACAGATGTTTGGGTGTAGAAGAACACATACCAAAATTAGAAATTCTAGCCTTCTTCATTGATATTTTGTGTATTATGTAAAACAGTATTTTTGCATATTCATGCTGTGCCTGTGTTAACATGAAAGCACAATTTTAAACGTGTGTATGCTACAGGTACACAATGAAAGAATACAGCGTGAGCTGAATCTTAGCGCTTTTACAAAATTTTATAATAACTCTTGTACAGGTAATCCTCACAACAGTTCATTTAGTTACTATTCATACTTACAACGGCAATGAAAAAAGTGACTTATGATTGTTTTTCACACTTATGACCATTGCAGCATCCCCATGATCACGTGATCAAAATTTAGTCGCTTGGCAACTTACTCATAGTTATAACAGTTGTAATGTCCCAGGATCACATGATCATCTTTTGCGACCTTCTGACATGTAAAGTCAATGGGGAAGCCAGATTCACTTAATAACTGTGTTACTAATTTAACTATTGCAACGATTCACTTAACAATGCTAACAAGAAAGGTTGTAAAATGGGACAAAACTCACTTAACAACTGTCTTGCTTAGCAACCCAATGATTGGCCTCAGTTGTAGCTATATGTCGAGGACTATCTATATGAATGTGTGTGATATACTGTACTATGTTAGGTTGCATTAAAGAACCATTCAGTGCATTCTGTCTTATCATTCAATCCTAAACTGTATAGTCCCCAAAATACTTGGTCAAAGAATGACAGAAATCACATGCTTCCTCTTATGCTTGTTTAGAAGGCAATTTGAGAAAAGTCGCCCCTAAAATTACTTTTGCTGAAATGCATCTCTCAGGCCTACGGTCAATTTTCTATATTACTCAGGATTTTTAACCTTTTAAAAGCAATGATAGGGTGGTATACAATAGAATTTTTTTTATAGTGAATCAAATTATATGAAGAAACAATTATGTTTCCTTTACATTATGTATCAATATAATTCAGACATTCAGAGAAACATCATCTGACATTTTTAGAGCTAAGATACACACACACACACACACACACCCCTTCTGAGGTCGGTTTCACAAATCACACCAAAATGAGAGATAATCCTGTTTTGTTAAATTAACCTCATCTGGCTGGGTTCACTGCACACACTAAGCTGGTTTAATGATAAAATTGGCTATACAATTCATAAATCAGTTAATTACAGTTTATTAACCACAATGATTAGGTTTTCCAATCCGCAGAATGTAAAACAAACAACATTACTGGTTAGTCTGATAAATGAATCCAGCCATTCTGTTTAAGATTGTTTCAGGGGTGGTATTCACTTAACTTTGCTACCGGTTCGCAAATGTGAGCGCATGCACAGAGCCTCAAATACGGGATGTGTTGATGGCTGGGTGGGCGGGTGGATAGAACTGGCTGAATACGACCACTGAATTGTTTCTTGGAATTGTTTTTCTCTATATGTATTATGAATATTACTGGCAGAGACTATATTTAAACTGAATAGTATTTTAAAAATTACGATGTTTATTTGTTAATCTTTTATATAGGTGATAGCGGTTTCCCGCTGAGGAGTAAACATTCAGGATCAATGACACAGGTAATGTATTTATCATTTTATAGCATGTAATCAATCAGGCACAATCTGTTATTCTAATATACATTATTAGAATGTCAGGGTGGCAATTAATCCCATTCCGCTTTTGGGTAATTGCACCTTGATTAGAGAATGGATTGTGGCTTTTTCCTTGCAGCATACTTTAAGAAAATAAACCCGAGATATATTCTAATAAACACATTTTATTATAAAGAAGTAAAAACAGTCTTACTAGCTAATTAATTACATCTTGGCAGCGTTCCTGCCATACCTCTTGCAGGCGAACAAAGAAAGTTAGAAGAAAGTGAAAGAATGTGAAAGAAGGAATGTGGACATGCGCAGTGGCATCTGAGATAAGAGTCAAATCAGTCTACCTTAAATCTCAGAATGGGAGCCCAGCTGACAAATACAAAAACGCAGTGACATAGAAGAAACAAAAAGATTCACCAACTTTGTCTATTGCAGGGTTAAAGATTACCTTTCCTAATCTGTTAATCCATTGCACTAAAGTAATTAATCTGTTTTAAACCTATTAAATGATGTGTATAGAATTCATTGGATAGACAGTGTTGTTTTCTCAGTAACGCTGGAAAGTTTATAACGCTTACATGCCTATGTTTTCTTTTGTTTTCAAAGCTGGAAGGAGAAGCTGGACAGTGGTGTGATGCTCTTCATGACTTTACAGCAGAAACACAGGAAGATTTATCGTTTAAAAAAGGAGATCGTATTTTGATATTAGAACAACTGGATTCAGAGTGGTATAGAGGGAGGATAAATGGAAAGGAAGGCATTTTCCCAGCTGTGTTTGTTCATGTTTGTTCAGGTACAGTGCTGAAAGAAAAATGGAACTGCTTTCATCCTGTTGTACAAGCTATAAAGATACAGGTGGTCCTTGATTTACAACTGTAATCGAGCCACAATTTCATTTATAGGTCATGATGGTCATAAACTGGCTCAATTTTACAACCTTTTTTGCAACAGTTGTTAAGGGAACATGATAGTCATAAAACGAATGCTGTGGTTGTAAAGCAAACACTGCAATTGTAAAGTGAACAGCAGGTTATAAGTGAATGCATTGTTCTCTAGGGGGCAAGTTCTAGTCCTACTCTAGGCATGCAGCTGGCTGGGTGATTTTTCGCCAGCCACTCTCTCTCAGCCCAATCTACCATACAAGTTGTTGTTATGGGAAAAATAAGAGGAGGGAGAGTATTAGATATGATCACTGCCTTGAGTTATTTACAAAGTAATAAAGGCGGGATAAAAATCAAATAAATAAATTCTCTGTGATACAAGTAGCATATGCCTTCCTCACTTACATACTTGCAAAGGATCATCATCATCATAATATCATCATCATAATAAATGCTTTCTCTGCCATTTCATACAGAAAAGCATGATGATACTCACAGTCTGCCCTCATAAATTACCTAGAATATATTGCAATGATTTAATACAGGGGTCCCCAAACTTGGCAGCTTTAAGACTTGTGGGCTTCAACACCCAGCATAGCTGGCTGGAGAATTCTGGGAGATGAAGTCCACAAGTCTTAAAGCTGCCAAGTTTGAAGATCTCTGATTTAATAGCTCTTTTACTGTATTCTGGTAGTGTGGCTAATGTACCTTGTAAACTGATCATGAGCACACCCTGGTGGTAAAATCTGGTTAAAGATGTCAGTGATGGCTAACCTTTTTGCTGTCGTGTGCCAAAAGTGGGAGGGTTGCATATGTGTGTGCCCACACTCACAATTCAATGCGCCCCACCCCCCCGCACATGTCTGCATGACCACCACCCCTGTGCTTTCCCCGCTTTTGGCATGCGATGGCATGGTGGGCCAAGTAGGCCTGTTTTTTGCCCTCCTCAGGTTCTGGAGGCTTTCTTGGAGCCTGGGGAGGGCAAAAACGGCCTTCCCCACCCCCCGGAGGCCCTCTGGAGGCTGGAAACGGCCTGTTACGCGACTTCCGGTGGGACCGAAAGGCTTGAATATCAGCTGGCCAGCGCGTGCATGTGCGCTGGAGCTGAGCTAGGGCAACACTCGTGTGCCCACAGATATGGCTCTGTATGCCACCTGTAGCATTTGTGCCATAGGTTCGCCATCACGGCCCTAGCGACTTGATATTATTCCAAGGCAACTTTCTTGGTTAATTACCAAGATAAGAAATGAAGGTTTATGACATGAAAAAGTAATTAGTGCTTGCTTTTGTCCAATATAAGAACAACGGTGTCATTTCCCTTTGAAAAATTAAGGAAAAAATATTTTTATTCCTATTTGATAACTAGTAAAATTTATTTATTTATTTATTGGTTCGATTTATATGCCGCCCTTCTCTGGAGACTCAGGGCTTAACGCTTACAATGCGTTAAGCAATAGCCTTCATACTTTTGTATATACCTGCTTAGTAGGGCTTTCACGCCCCCTCTAAGCAGTGTTCTTTTTTATACAAAGTCAGCTTATTGCCCCCACAATCTGGGTCCTCATTTTACCTACCTCGAAAGGATGGAAGGCTGAGTCAACCTTGAGCCTGGTGAGATTTGAACTTGCAGTAATTGCAGGCAGCTGGTGCTACTTAACAGCACTTTAGTCTGCTGCACCACCAAGGCTCTTAAAACACTTTGTTTTGTTTTTTAATAAATACAAGTAGATTTTTTTCAAAGGAAAAAGGCATAAATTAAACTTGCAGTGTATGTGTTATGCAAAAGAGTTGTGCTTTTCATTCCCTTCACTCAGTTAACCTCAAACCAGATTAAGATATTTGCAAACAAAATATTTTCTTATATTATCCCAAAGATAGAAACTTAATTGGATCATTGTATCTTACAGGTGGAATGCAGTCATCAGAACCTCAGGGAGGGAAGAAACCAAAAGCTAAGGCCCTGTATGACTTCCAGGCAGAGAACATAGATGAACTTTCTTTCAAAGTAAGCATATTTAAACCAGTGGTGAAATCTGAACCGGTTTACTATCGGTTCGCTGGCTGCGCATGCACAGTGCGCACCATGCACCAACTGCGAGGTGCACATGCACAGTGCATGCCAGCGAGGAGGGGTGATCAGCTGTGGCGTGCAATCTTTTTTTTTAACTTTTAAAAGCATTGCTTTTAAAAGATTTAAAAAAGCCTCTGAGAATCGCGCTGGTCAGCTGTGATCATCAGAGGCTTTTTTTTACCTTTTAAAAGCATTTGTTTTACAATCTCTTCGGCTGAAGAGGTTGTAGAAAAAAATGTTTTTAAAAGTAAAAAAAAAAAAAGCCTCTGATGATTGCGCGGCTCAGCTGGGCATGGGCGGGGGTGGGGCAGGGATTTTTGCTACTGGTTCTCCGAACCACCCACTGCTATCGCTACCGGATCGGGCGATCTGGTCCAAACCGGGAGCATTTCACCCATGATTTAAACATACAATTCTGCAGTGATAAAGACATTATATTTTATTGTTGTGAAAAATACTGTCCTGCATTTCTCCTGCAGCATAAAAATTAGGGAAATTGTTTCAAAATGGTATTTATTTTGGGTTTCTTCTTTTTTATACTGCAAAAAATTCTGTTTGAAAGAAAACAATTAAACAACCTATAGACAAATCCACTGTTGGATTTAAGATTATCTTGATTTAGTGTGATGTATGAACCATCCAGAACACAGTTTCTGTTTCTGTAATGAACTGAATGCAACTGAAAAGTGGGCTGATATTCTATTATAACTGTTATTATAATCTATAAAAAATACCTCAGTGAAACTTATCCACTTAATTTATTTTTTCCCTAAGAAATTATCTAACTGCAAAGCTTTCTAGTGGTCCCAACTTTAAAACACTTTTACTTTGAATTTTTTTTTCACTTGACATATTAAGACATTTTGTTTATCTAGTACAAAACAGTTTTCTTATGAATTCTTTTGATCTGATATAAAACTAATTTAAAAATAAACAAAGTATCATTTGGGAGAAGAAAGAGTCTACAGTTTTTTTAAGAGTATTAAATATGTGTGAAAGATATTATGAAAAACAAATAATGTTGGTTTCAATTTTTGTTTCAACAGGTTGGTGATATCATAACAAGTGTAGAATCTGTAGATGAAGAATGGATGAGTGGGGAATTACAAGACAAGTTTGGAATATTTCCAAAGAATTTTGTCCAAATTCTACATCTTTCCTAAGGTGAAATCCAATTCTGGAGCATTGTTTTACAAGTGAATTCGCTGGAAGAAAACCACGTTATATTCTGGGCAAAGGAGAAAGAGTGCTATCTGTGATTTTATCTAGACTATCAAATGCATTTTTGCACTATTTTTGTAAAATGTTTACTAGACTGTACAATATTTTGTTTTTTAGTTTATATTGAGCAGACCCTGGGCAGACTTTTTTTTTAAAAAAAAACAAAAAACAAGAGGAATACGAAGCCTTATTATTTAAACTTGGTGCATTTTAATCATTTTATATTCTTTCTGTGGGGGTGCAATGGCTCAGCAGTTAAAGATGCTGAGCTTGTCAGTTGGAAACCTGACAACCTGGGTTTGAGACCTGAGTGCCATGCATCAGGGTGAGCTCCTGTCACCTGCTCCAGCTCCTGCCCACCTAGCAGTTCGAAAGCATGCAAATGTGAGTAGATAAATAGGTACCACTTCAGTGGGAAGGTAAAAGCATTCTGTGTGCCTCAGAATATAGTCATACTGGCCACATGACCACAGAAATGTCTTCAGACAACGCTCCCTCAGTTAAGAAACGGAGATGAGCACCGCCCTCTACAGTTGGAAACAACTGGACAAGGGAAACCTTTACATTTACTTTTATTTCTGTGAAGTCCAATTAATTACTAAACCCTGCTCAAATAACTTTTTTTTAACAATACATATCCCACACTATAGTTTGCGAGTCAAGTTTTCAGAAACTGTTTTACCATATGAAAACATTAAATCCTCATACATAAATATGATTATCATGGTAAAAGGATTGGATTTTTTCTTTATTTAAACCAAGTAAGTTAAGTTGTTTAAAAGTGCATCAGTTACTTTTAGTCTGGATTGAAGTATCCTGAAACAATTAGATGATAATGGATTTATGTGCCTTAGACTAGAAAGATCATTAGTCTGTTTGATCCAGTTTTCTATCCTAGCTACTAATGGGTCTCCAGCACTTACAAACGGTGCTGAGTCCCAACATTTGTTGCCCGAACTTTTTTAATGGATAAATGCAAGATATATACAATAAGGCTGGGCAAAGCAATCGAAGAGGACCATTGCAATGTTCGGCAGGTACAAAATGCCTGCTTTGATTAAAAGTATCCATGTTTTTGCAAGCCTCATACTATTCATGCACATGCTTTAATACTTTGCGCAATTCTAATGAATAATAATTGTGTATATTTTATGATAAGAAAGGCTGGTAACTTTTCTTATTACTTTCAGTAAATAAAATTACACTTATAGAGATTTCTTACTTTTTTGCAGCCAATGGGTTCTGCTGTATCATATTCTTGATTTATATCTAGAGTGACTTTTCAAAGATTCTTGGATCTTTTTTAAAAATCTGATAACATTTTGGATCTTTCAAATTCTGTAATGCTCCCTATTGCCTTATTCTTACCAAATCTACTGTCAGAAATTAAGTGTGTTCAGAAAACTATCTATGATAAGTGATGGAAGAATAATTTTCATGGGTCTTGCTGTCATGACTATCTCATAAGAGTAAATATTATTATAAACTTGTACTACAGCCTGTATTGTCTTACCTCCATCTCCAACTTTGTAATGTAATTTAACATAAAAAAATGCATCTTAAAATTAAACTTTTAAGTCCCATTTTTGCCCCATATTTCTTAAAATTACATTCTTTAAAAATGCTGATTTCCGGTCAGTTTTTCCAGGAATTAATATTAAATGTTTATAAATCTGATAGTGCTGAAATATAAGACCTAAAGCGTAGATCCTCCTATCTCTCAAGACTAAGTAAAATGTGCCCCAAATCCATTTTCTTGTTCAATACCAATATTACATTTTTGACTGTTCACTGTGTGCCTTTATGGAGGGGGTGAAACAGTACTTAAGAACACAGCACAGTCACAGCTTTGCCTATAATTGCTGGAAGCCACAATTGTGTGGAAGGCACAAGTAACAAGAATAAATAATGAAGGCTCGATAGCAAAACAATCATGTGAACAAACCGAATCCCAAAGAATGAAAAAAAGGAAAATTCTTTCACAGGGCCCTGTTTTTCCTCCAAACTATGCCCTTTGGCTAGTAAGGGGGAGGGAAGCATGCAGGAACAGCTTCTCTTTGCAGACCTCTTACACTCTTATTATCCAGAACTCATAGTTAGCTGCTAAGCCATAAAATACGTAGCAGCCTCTAATTCAGAAGTCAGCCTCTCATTGTAATAAGCAGGCCTGCTGTAGTTATTTCTGGTTTCCAAGGAATGCTTTGACAACAATCCACCCGTGCTTTTAATTAGGGCCAGATTTTAAAACCAAACTACACTTTGGTTTGAGGTTTGGCATATTGTGCAAATCAAATTTTATTTTAGAGGACAAAAGCAATGAAAAATCTTACCTTTTGCTTTCGATTCAATCCAATCAATGTGTCGCCTATTCATAAAATGGTAGTTTCCCATCTTAAATTTCTTAAAGCTTTATACATGCTTTTTGATCACAATGGTGTGCTTTGGCACTTATAAAGGGTATCGATGTCATTGGACAAACTAATATTAATCAAAATTTCCATTTAAAAACTGGAGGAAAATACCCACCTGTTAGGTAGTTGACTTTGAGTGTTATCTTGTTCCCTAGTTGTGGTCATTCTTTAAGAATATAGTAACTCCATGATATAAAAATAGTTAAATAAGCAAAATTCAGCTTTCCAGTACATGTTAAATTGGTTAGTTGAAGGCAGAACCCATTATTCACAACTGCAACTTTTATTGCCATCTCATATTTTGCTGCATTTTTTTAGGAACGATGGACCTCTTTTTGTTGTATGTCAGCTGCATTATTTAGGCTTTTGAGGGTCATTGCAAATGCTGACTGAAAACCACTGTGTACCAGACTGAATGCAATGCTTGTTAAAAATGACTTTTATAATTTTTCTTATCTATATTTTCAGATTTTGTATTTTTCCATATTCATTCTCAACATGTAATTTTCCAGTGACTGAGAAATGGTTGTTTCGTGTTACTAATGAAAATGCACTAATTTCTTTTTTTCTACATTAGTAGTAAATATCGCTTTTATATTTATCATTGTTTAAAGTAAGCAAACATTCACCAGAGCAAGCTTTGTTATCTTACCAGGTAAATCTATGTATTCAGATTGCCAAATACAGCTACTTCACTTGAAGAGTGCCATCTAAAGGGCTTTTAATACAGTGTTAATAATGTAGATAAATACGAATGACAGTCCCATTTAAGAAACTGGCATCAGTTTCTAGAATGAGGCCATAAAGTATTATAGATCACATGCTATAAGATTCTCAAATGAATATAAGTACAGCAGTTAGCTGAAGATACAAATACATTATGTGTATATATATATATAAATGTGAGCCAGGTTATTATAGTAGCTTTTTAATTTCCAGATCAATTTAATTAATTTTCTTCAGATTATACAAATTTACAAAAATACTTTTGCTTCAGGAAATTAATATTAAAATGTTGTTCCTCAGCTTAATGGCATTATTACATTTGTATATAACCAATAAATGTGTTTGTTGCAAACAATGAACTGTGCAAACTGGAATGAAATTTATCATAAATGAATGCAGTTTTTAAAACTTCACAATTAAAGGAAGTTTTCTTCCATTTGATTTAATGCATTTAAATTTTACACATTCTCTAAGGCTTGAAGTGATTGGGAATCATAACCCAGAACCAATAGATGACAGATTAATGGCACCGAGGTAAGCACACAGTATCGTTAGTGTGCTGCTTTCTTCTTTACCTACAAAGCTTGCTGGTCAACTTCAGATTCATTGCCTCTCTAAACCCAACATAGCAGAGTTGTTGGGAAGGTAATACTTAATTGGGAGTATTATGTATGAGGTTTTGAACTTTCAAAAAAAAAGGGAAGACATAAATACAGCAAATAATGGGGCTGCGATTTTAAAAGCTATCTCCCATTTCTCATCCATTTCTACCAAAGATGTAATAATCTGCCATGAAAATGTTTTAAAAACCTGTTAATTACAAGCTAGATACTCACAATAGATGCAATAATAAAAAAATCTCAATATCTCCAGAATATTTCATCTTCCCTCTCCATATTACCAGTTTAGTACTTCGTTTGGAATTAAGATTGGATACGTTCTTTAGCCCCGCTAAATATTTTATAGAAACTCATTTCTTGCTTAGAATGCTGAAGATACTTAACTGTAGCCTATTCTAGTCATACTTTTTATTCAATGAGATTTTTCCATAGAAGCACAATAGACTTGATTAAGCTCAACAATTAAGGAATTTAGCTGAAAATATACTGGAATGAAATTTAAACATTTCTTGCCCTCCTTCAAACATGTAAAACCATATGGCATGCTACCTGAAGGCTTCTGCATTGGGGTAAGGAATGAGATGATTGGACGGAAGTGTCTTGATACACCCAGAATTTACTATCCATGGATTTTCAGGAATTCAATCTTCTACTTAGTTCACAACATTCAATAACAATACATGACTTTACTGAACACTTTTGTGGATGGGAGGGAGTGGCTTGCACTAAAGTTTGCAAACTTAAAAAGAGAAGTATAACCTAGAGTTACATTTCTTATGAAAGATCAGTTTTGCAATGTGAGGAAACTTTTTTCCTAGTAGTTACAGCTGAATACATTAGCTATTACTTTTGTGCAGTCATATATTGGTTGTCTCCCAGTTCAAATACTCAACATGCTCTGCATGGGGCTAAGAGTATTCGGAAGCTACAACTGGTCTAGCATGCAAAATGAGCTGTTGGCTGCCAGTTTGCTTCCAGGTCCAATTCAAGGTGTTGAGTCACTTTCAAAGCCCTTTTTGGCATGGGACCAGGTAATCTGAGCACCTTACATAATGGGACTAACCCACCCTACTTGTTCCAGGGGAAAGGGCCTACTTCTGATTCTATCAGCCAAAGAATTTCAGCTGGCTGAGTCCAGAAGAGTCTTTTTCACTGTGTCCCCTATTCTCTGGAATATTCTCCCATCAGAGATGAGATTTGCCCCATACTTCTGGACTTCCAGAAGAGTCTAAAAACTTGGCTCTGCTGCTTGGCCTGAGGCCCTGCCATATTGGGGGCGGCCGACAGGGCAGAAAAAAGTCTTACCCAGACTGCCCATCACTTTGTTACTTATTAATCCTTTTTTCAATTTTTTTTACATTTTTTAACTTTATTGTAAGCTACTAGAGAGTTGCTATATTAATGAAATGGATGGCATAGAAATTTAAATACTTTCACAAGACTAGAAGAGGCCTGATCACAATTACAAATGCTCTTATAACCTATAATAACCAAAAGTGATAACAAATTGTATGTAGAGTACCTTTAAAAATATTTAGCTTTGGCACACTATTACCTGGATCTTTAAAAAAACAATGAAGCATGAAAAAAATCCAAAGTAGCTTGAATGTGTGCTTTTTACAGTGTTACTGTTATTCATCATTACTCAATTTGCAACACTTGTGTGAAATAAAATATACATCTTCACCAATTCTAGTTTCATCAGTGGATCAATTGGTAGCCGAAGTAGTTTAGCAAAATTGTGGCATGAATGCAAAATATGAATAACAATTCCATAAAAACGCACATTACTACACTATTTATATGAAGTCTTTTATTTTGTGTCTGATTTTAAACAGATTCTTGCACAGGGGGCTCATATCCGTCAGCTCGTTCTACTTTGGCACCAGTTTCATCACCAGATGGTTTTCCAGCACCACCACCTTCACCGTGCAGTTCCATCAATTTGCCCACTACAAATAATTAAGGATGTAAATTAATATATATATAATTCCATGAGAGTTACATTTTAAAGGAACAGTGCTATATTTTCTATTAAAATATTCACTTATTCATTATACATCGTACAAAAAACTAGTAAAATAGCTTTGTGTTTTATGGGAATGTCAGCATTGGGATAAAGTAATCATTTCTTCATCTGGGACCGAAACTAAGTGTCATCATTCATTCCCATTTCAAGTAAACATGTTAACACAGCACTTTCAATTAGATACTTACATTCAAACTTGGGCTTCTTGAGCATTTTAACTTTGCGAACATAGACATCATGAAGGGGGTAGATTGATTGACATGCCTTTTCTATGTCTTTACCGATGCTGTCTGGAATCCTAGAATAATAACAAAGTATTTTATTTTGAAGTCTCCAAACTAGAAATCAGACAAAAGCCTGCAGAATTGCTAGTGACTGTGGCATAGATTAAAGTATGTGAGGTAAAGAAAAATAATCTATCATAAATTGGAACCTAACCTTCTGCATTCACAAAGCAACTTCAATTTATTCACCTGAAATAAATGTGAATATTAAATAAACTTGGTTTATACAATATTTATCCACAATCTGAATAAACAAACTACGTCCACACATGAATATAAAGCGAACAAACCAAATTATGTATTACCACAGCATGAAGCAAGGCAATAAGAATGGTATCATTCTATGTGTGGCTGAATAAAATATTAAGAAAAAATGTGGACATCTTATTACACCATAAAATAATTTATTTCGCCTTGGCTTAGAATGTTGTGGCATTGAAACCAGTCAATTTACTTATTTTATTAAACCATTGTTTTAGAGACTACCCACTAAATTCACCCAAATCTAATCTTATGGAATACTCTCCAGAAATATAAATTATAAATTTTCAGTTCTTTAAAAGGGACACAATTACTTGAATTGTTACAGAATCTAAAACACTTTTAACATAAATATAAATACCAAATCCAAAAAATAGGTCATTACAGGTAGTCCTCTACTTATGACAATTCACCCCAAAATTTCTGTTGTTAAGCAGTACATTTGTTAAGGGAGCTTTGCCCCATTTTATCACTTTTCTTGCCACAGTTAAGTGAATCATTGCAGTTGTTAAAAGTTACTAACAAGGTTGCCCCAAAGGTGCTTTTTCAAGAGGGAACTGGACTTTCTGGTTTTTCTTTGAAGACATTTTGCTTCTCATCCAAGAAGCTTCTTCAGCTCTGACCCCACCATCCAGTCAAAGTTGAAGAAGCTTCTTGGATGAGAAGCAAAATGTCTTCAAAGAAAAACCAGAAAGTCTAGTTGCCTCTTGAAAAAGCACCTTTGGGACAACCATGACCTGGATGACTGAGAATCTCAGTAGATATACCAACAAGGTTGTTAAGTGAATCCATTGAATCCAACCCATTGACTTTTTTTCTTAGGAGTTCATTAAAGATCATGATCCCTGGACACTGTAACTATCATAAATACGAGTCAGTTGCCAAGCGTCTGAATTTTGATCATACGACTGTGGCTGCTGCAATGGTCGTAAGTGTGACAAACAGTCATAAAGTCACTTTTTCAATGCCGTTTTAACTTTGAACGGTCAGTAAATGAACGGTTAAGACGAGGACTACTTGTATAAATTCTAAAGTAGTATGCCATTGAAGACTGTCTTACTAAACATAGATAAAAAAAAATCCACCTACAGTTTATTGACAACTTCTTTCAAGTCATTTGTTTGTACTTCACGTGTCATTATTTCCACCATTTTTTTGCGGATTTGGCGGACCTGTTGGTGCTGAGCATAGGAAGTCTTGCGAATCTGGTTGGTTCTTTTCTTGGTGAAGCCAACACAGAAAAGGCGTAGAAGATACCCATCTGTCGTTTTGACATCGATGTGGGCTTCAATCATAGTCTGGAACATTGTAAGAGTTACAGATATTTTAACACGTCAAATTGCTATAGCTGAATGAGATTGACTACTTTTAAAGCATTTATACAAGATAACCATGTTCAGAGGAATTTTTGTAAAGTACACTTAGGAAGCATTCACATATTTATATACCAGAATACAGAGAAGAACTAGCAAGATTTTTGGAAACTTTTAACATTCTGGATCTGATGATATTTTTTTTTAAATGATATATGAAAATAGATGATGAACAACCATCATCTGAAACCTGTATTTTACTTGCCTTCATCATCAACAACAAAATTCCAGTATTTACTGTTCAGCTTAAGTACATACCAATACTTATACTAACCTGCCATTTCTTAACCATTGAACACATTTTATCCCGTGTGAGATCCATGCCATGAAAGTTTGTCAGGCAGTTTTTCCCCTGGACATCTTCTGTAATCAGCTTGAATTTACGGAAGGCAACTTCATCATTCTGTAGGTCAGCAAGGCTTACTTCAAATACACGGCCTTTCAGTCCATCAGAGGCAATTTCTATAAATATTAAACAGTTAACTTGTTAATTAAAAACACCACTGAGCTATATATCATTTTCTAAGATGTCTTTCAAATGGTCCTCCGCATTCAAAATAATTACAATTGCAATGTATAATTGTATATATATAATTCTAAGCCGCCCAGAATCGCTTTACAAAGTGAAAAGGACAGCCTATAAATTTAATAAATATAGGAATATACAATAAAATGTGTAAACAAAACACTATGTCCAATGTTACAGTAGGACAGAAGTCCCTTTCATTGAAGTAGTGCAATGGGTCTCATTCAAAACAGTAATAAAGAATGGTATTTGGTTAGTGTTT